TTTTTCCTTCCCCTGGGGCGGGGAAACTGCCCACCTCCACCTCTGGAAACCGTTTTTCGCAAGGCACCTCGGGAAGTGGGTGAGGTCAGGAATCGGTCTCCTATCGAGGGAGAGCAAATCGTTGGAGGCCTGGAAATTGGCACCAACACCAGCACAGGGGGTTGCCTCCACATGGGAAAGATGATCCTAGATTTCGGTGTGGGTGGCAATATTTCGGTCACCTTTGAAACCAAACTATTACCACTATCACCGAGATCGGGATCGTCTTCCCTCGGTGGAGGCACACCGCCGATCTTGGTGTTGGTGTCAACCTCTAGGCCTGCGAAATCGGCGGTGAAATCCGAACCTACCCTCGCCGATCAACGCCTCAGCCAACTCGATGGGCGGCGGGGGTAGGGTTCGGACCTGGTCGAACACGTGGCGAAATCCGCACCCTTTCCCACGCCCCCCCATCGATTCAGGAGAATCGATGGTTGGTGGGGGCAGGGGTCGGATGCCGTCACTTAAACTCAATGCGTGTGAACTTTCGGAGGGCCGCGCGGATTTCTCGGATCGGCGCTGGACACCTCTCCCTGGCGCGCGGGGCGCGCCAGGGGCGGCGCCGGACGCGCTGCCAGGGGAGCCCCATCGCCGATCCAAGAAATCCGCTCGGATCGTCGACAGCTTGTGTGTATAATTTTGGTCTTCTTCGAGAGTTGCGGACATGGAGGAGCACAAGGAATCCCCCTGTACCCTTCCCCCTCCTGCTCGTCATCCTCCTCTTCCTCCTCCCCCTCCTTCTCCTCCGCCTGCTCCTTCTCCTCCTCCTTTTCTTCCACAGAGCGGCACAAACGTACATTTTCGGAGGTCCGCGCGGACTTCTGGTGCGCGCAGCCCGCCAGGGTCCGGAGGCGCCGCCAGGGGGGGGCCCAGCGCCGACCCAAGAGAGCCGAGCGAAGCTCCGAAGTTTGCGTTCGTTCCCAGCCCTCCTGTAAGTTGGGCCACCGTTTTGAAATCCGAAGCGCCGCGCGTCTTCTCTCATTTGCCCTCCTCTCTCCTCCTCTTCTCTAGGCCTCCTAGATGGGGTCCGAGCAGATGGGGTCGGATAGTCACGCCGCACCGCCGATGCATAGTCGATGCGGCTCGATGTGGGGCCCGATTTGCTTCACGTCGACGTCGCCGATGCATCGCCCACGTCGACGATGCATGGCCGATGCATCGGCGATGCGGCGCGATCCCCCGACTCCGTCTACTCCGACCCCGTCTAGGAGGCCTCTAGAGTTGGGTCCCCGTTTTGAATCCGCAGCGCCGCGCGTCTCCTCTCCTTTTTTCGTTCTTCCCATCCTCCCTCCTTCTTCTCTTCCTCGCCCTTATTCCGAATTGCCTTGTATGCAGTCCTCGTTTGGAATCGCCACTCATCGATGTCGTCATCGTCACCAGCATCATCATCGCACCGTTGTCGTCAGCATCATCATCATCTTGATCATGCTCCGTGGCCCTATTGGGAGCTCTACCGGGGGCCCCAGTGGTTCCGTCCGCATGGCGACCCCGCACCATTTCACCACTGCAACGTCACACATCTCGCTGCCCCATCGGGAGCTCAACCGAGGGCCCCAGTGGCTACTTCCGCATGGCGGCCCCGCCACAGTTCCGCACAGCTCTCACGTGTTTCGTGCCCCATGGGAGGTCCACCGAAGGCCCCAGTCTTGGCATCGCTCGGACGTGTGCGTTTTTTCCTTCGGCGAGGACCATCGAGGAGCATCCTTGATCATTTCGCGAAAAAGCCGCGCACGAAACCGAAACAAGCACAGGACATGGACGTCCGAGCGATGGCCAGCCAGTGGCAGCGTCGGCACGGCGTCGCCCCGCCCCCATCTCGGCACGCCGTCCACACCTGTGGTGGCCCCGTGAGGAGCTCCTCCGATCACCCACCATGTTCTCGTGTGTTGAGCAGTCCTCCCGCCCGCGCCCTGTCTCCCCAATTAGGGCTACCCGCGTCCCGTTTAGCTCTTGACCGGAAGGGGCCCGCTCCCGACCCGCGGACCAAAAAAAAAAGTGCGTTGAGCGGTCCCGTTCGTCGTTGCTACTCGCTTAGAAAGGGCTGGGTTGGGGAAACCAGAAGGTACCGATACCGTTTCTCTCTGGATCTATCCGGGTGCGTTCTGACCAGCAGTTCGAGGCGAATCCAGCGGTGGTGACGAGGACCTCCGAGGCGGCCCAAAAAGGCGAAAGCGGGGCGAGGGTGGCGGTATGTTTCTTCCTCTGACATGCAGCTTTTTCTTCTTCCATCGGCGTTGCAGTGCGCCCAGCCGGTCGACGGGGAGCCGGTCTCGGCTGCGAGGCCAAGCGTGCTCTCGAAGCCGCTCGGCGGCAGGTGGCGGAACTCATCGCGGCGCAGCCAGGCGGCCGACGGGAGGCCCAGGAGGAGGAGGAGGAGGATCAGGCAAGGACCCAAGGAACACGTATTTGGAGGTACCTTCGGGTTGCCCAAGAAACTCAGAGGAGTAACGGGTACCCATATCGCTACCCTTGCCTCGTTTTCCCCCTTTTGGCTTCCTGGGAGGCCTCGTCGCCACCGTTGGATTCGGCTCGAACTGCTGGTCAGAGCGCACCCCATGAGACGTCTGGGGAGTAGCGGTATCGGTACCTTTTGGCTTCCCCAGAAGCGTATTTGAAGGTATTTTGGGGCTGCCCAGAGAAACGTCCTCAGGCACCGATACCGCTGCCCTTACCTGGGTTTCGTCTTGTTGGGGTATCCTGTCGGACGGAACGTCACAGCGTTCAGAAACGCTCTTAGCCCCAGATATCCTCCAGAGCCGCCGGATCTCAGAGATTCTCGATTTATCCTCACACGATTTTATCATCGTCCTGGATTCGTTCTATCCTGGGAGGCCTGTGCAAGGCCTTCGTCGCCACTGCTGGATTCAGCGAAATGATGGTCAGGACGCACCCGGGGAGCGGCTCGGGGGGTAGCGGTACGGATATGTTGTTGGTCACCCAGAGCGGGACGATGACGAAAGGAGATGGGGACTCAGGGGCAACGACAGGGAGAACAGGCATAGCTAAGTTGCATCTGCGGGGTACCTTGCGTGCCCCCCAAATTTGTATCTTTTCTTGTGCCCGACGCGGGCTCGATGCGGACTCGACGAGGATTTAGCGTGAATCCGACGCGGATGAGACACGGATTCGACACGGATCCGACCAGTCCGACATGGATTCGACACGGATTCGATGCGGATCAGGCCGCGACGGGACAGACGAGGGCCTCTCAGGATGCATCATAAGCATAGGGGGACGAGAGGCTTCGAGGTTCGAGGTTTTCGGACGTATTCGCTGGATCTCTGGGGCAGTTAAGTCAAGTCTCGGGATGCCTCTGGGCGGCTGAACCTCGCAGAGAGCGTGCCGGGGGTGCAGGGATCGACCCGAGCGGCCGCCGGGGAAGCGAGTGATGACCCGAGACTAGGGGGGGATGTCTCGAGTCGGGCGGGTGGTTCTAAGGGGTGACCCTAAGAGCGGGTGGAGAAAGCGGTCCTACAGGGGCCCTTTCGGGTTCCTTTTGGGCAATTTCTGGGTCCAAAAGGGGCCCAAAGTGCCCCTTCGGGGCCCTTTTCCTCACCCCCCGTTTGGGTCACCCCCCATTGCCACCCGCCCGACACCAGGGCGGATGTCTCGACCCTGCATGGTCATTCATCGCCGACAATGGGCCCCGACAGCTCACCACCACCCAGGAACGTGCGGATTCACTATCGGGGGCCTATCGCCGATCTATCGGCGATGTATCGCCGATTCCAGGCCCCCGCCCGCCCTATGCCTGTCCCCCCCTATCGTTGCCCCCCCCAGGGGCGAGGACGAGGAGAATGAGGACTCGCAGGAAGAAGATGTGGAAGAGCAGGGAAGGGAGGGGGACAGTGAGGAGAGGGGCAGAGCGCCATGCGCGAGGAACAGGAGCAGGAGGGGGGAGGATACCTTTTGAGTCCAACCCAGTGGCTGAGACGGCGCATGTCTGGAGAAGCGCCCACAGCGGTCGCCAGGTCGGCCCCAGGACTAGTTCCGCTAGGGCGAAAGCAAGCGTCAATTCAGCTTTAACACTTCGTTCGTCAAGACGAGAGGAGCCGTCAACTCGGCCCCGGCATTTTGTTCGTCAAGACCGAAGTCGTTTCTAACCATCATTTCGGCCCCGACGCTTTGCTCGTCAAGACGGAGGGGGCGGCGAGGGGGCCGTCAGGGGGGTTCATCGGCTCGGAGGGAGGCCGTCACGGAGGCTCGCCACCCCAGAGGGAGGCCGTCAAGGGGGTTCGTCAAGGGGGTTCGTCAACTTGGAGGGAGGCCGTCAACGGCGTTCGCCAACTCGGAGGGATGCCGTCAACGGCGTTCGCCAACTCGGAGGGATGCCGTCAAGGGGGCTCGTCAACTCGGAGTTGACGGCCAAGTCGTTTCGATAAGATGGAGTTGACGGCTCAAGCGCCGGACAGAGTACACATGGTCATCCGTCGTGGCGTCCGTCCAGGCCCGCTTCCAGATCTGCCGCCCGCGGCAGACTCGAGATACCCTCACGCTCCGCTCTCCCTCGCTTCCTCTGAGCGGGCGGCGGCGAGATCAGGAGCCAAAGCGAGAGGGAGGATGTCAGTGGCGTGCCAGCAGCCATTCATGCCTTCGATCTGGAACAGCTTGGGCTGGTAATGGCGACCAGCTGCGTCGAACACGCCATCCTGCAGTACTGCTTTGTGGCGACTGCCTTCGCGTGGCCCGTCTGTGGAGCCGCAACCGGAGCACCGGCGCGCACCTCGGAACTGGGCGCCTTGGGTTTTCAGAGCGCGGAGCGCGGTGTGTTTTTTTCATGGGGGTTCCAGCGTTGTCGAAGTTCATTGAACACGCGACGAAGTGTTTGCCAGAGCCAAGGCATGATGATCGCATGCAGGATTGGCGCGCCAACGCACGGCCAGGCTCTGTGATGTACACTCCGTTTCCTGTGGCGCAATCTTTCCTGATCGGGCTGCGCGCGCCAAGGCGAGATCACTTTTATGTCGAACGGCACGGAGACTATCAACCATGCTTTGAAAGGCCTCGTGGAGTTGGGACAGAAGGAGAGTCGGAGGGGGCGGAAGGTACTCTGCATCGTGGAATCTTCTCCTCTCCTCACCTCCCCTCTCCGCTTCTCTCCTCTCCTCCTCCCTCCTCCCCAGGCACGCACATTTATTATAGGCACTTGATGGTCGCTGCCTATTCTAGGGATACGGTGGCAAAACAATTGACACATTCAGGAGGGAAGGAAGAGGAACGGCAGAGGGGATCAGGTGAGGTAGCGCCGATCGAAAACGGCAAAGTCGCCGCCACGTTTTCCTCCTCCGCACTACTCCTTCCTCCTCCACCTCTCCCTCTTCTCCCCCCTGCCGAACAGCATGGTCTGGCTTCGGTCCAAAGACCCACATCCGGGAAAGGAAAGTGGTGAAACACGAAGGGTAAAAGGGGGCATCAGCCACCATCGCGTTGCAGCGCGCATCGAGTGGCCCTGCCCTTGCCAGCGAATCGGCACGTGCGAACACACGTGGCACTCAGAGGCAATGACCATATTCTTGCCCTGCTCCCCAGCTTTCCAGGGCGTGGCAACCAGCAGCCTGGCATGTAGAGCAAGGCGCATCGGCGCTGCTATGTGTTGCTGCAATCGCTGCAACCTTCTTGCACTGGCAGCACTCCCTCCTGCCGAGCTTTGGCGGATGCCCGCGACCCCAGCTGCCCGAAACGCCCGCCCGGCCCTGGGCCCAGGCCCGCCCCAGGGCTGGCGGGGAGGCCGCCGGCCACCGGCCTCTCGGGGTGGGCAGAGGAGGGAGGAGGATCTGCACGAACGAGATGGGCACGGAAAGAATGGGTACAATGCTCAACAGCAGTTCCTGTTACAGGACTCGCTGTCCGCGCCGCCGCGGCCTGCGTCCATTTGGAGACAGAAGGCCCCCTGCCCAACAGCGGCCGCTGTTGGTTTGGGACAACATTTGTTCTTGGGCATTGTACCGATCTTTTCCGTACCCATTTCGGACGTCCAAAGAGGAGGAGCGCTGGTCAGGAGGTGGAGGACGAGGAGGAATCGAGCTGCAAGAGCGGGGGTCAATGCAGACGGGGGTCAGCCAGATCGCCGCCTCTTGCAGGATCTTGCAAAGCCAGGGTTGCATTGGCCCGGGTTATCCTGCAGGATCTTGCAGGATCTTGCAGGACCCTGCAATGCCTCACTGACCCGGGTTTGCACTGGCCTTGGTCAGTAGAAGCCCGAGAGGGGGAAGAGGGGGACAGGGGCTCGAAGGAGAAACAACTGTATAAATAGACACTTTCGACAGTCCGCGTCAGTAGTGTGAACTTTCGTGGATCTGCGCTTGAGCCCCCTGGCGGCGCCTCTGGCGCGCTCTGCGCGCCAAGGAGGGGGTCCAGCGCCGATCCAAGAAGTCCGCGCGGACATCCACAAGTTTGTGTCTGTGCAGTTTTTATCCCGCTGCGTGTCCCACCTCCATGTGTAATAACAGGTTCTCTTGTCGCATGCCCCTACTGTACTTGAGCTGTGCTGAGGGGGAAAGAGGAGGGATGAAAAGGGAGGAGGAACCGGATGGCCAGGATCTGGATGAAGATGAGGAGGAGGAGGATCGAGGATCGATGATTGGTTATCGAGGATTGAGGATCGAGGGGGATAGAGGAGAAGAGGGAGGAGGAGGAGGAGGAGAAATAGGAGGAGAAAGAGGAGGAAGAGGAGGAAGAGGAGGAGGAGGAGGAAGAGGAGGAGGATAAGGGTGATGAGCAGAAGGAAAGGGGACGACGAGGGAGAAGGAGGTGGACCCACTCCCATCCGCCGCGGTCCTCGCCGAAAGCAGAGAACTCACCGATCTTACGACGCCAGACCGGATCGACGAGGTCCCCTCCTGATCCTCATCCGAAGCGCCCTGCCCCGTGCTGCCGCCCCCCCTCGATTGCTTGGCTGGCTGTTGGCCAGCTGGCTGACTGACTGGCGGACTGGCAGCTCGACCAGCCCGGCCGCCCCCCCCTGCTTTGGGGGTCCCCGCCCCAGGAGTCCCCGCTCCTCACTTGTCTCGGCCAGAGATTATATATATATATATAGATACTGTTTTGATGTGTACGTCGTTCTACTCTCAGGAGGGGAAAAACACAGACACAATTAATCGTCGACTCCCAGGAAAATATGGGAAAATATGGGAAGTGGGGGGGAAGACAACAAATCCAGAAAATATGATAAAATATGGGGAATCATGTTATTTGTGTGTATTTGTTTGTGTGTCCCAGTTCCCCTTCGTACTCGTCCTCCTGGCTTGGCGTTGTCCTTTGGCCTGGCTGTGCGCGTGCGTGCCTGAAGGGCCTGACTCTCCGCCGCTGCCCCCTTCTGTCCGTTGTCTGCCTGCCGTCTGGCCGTCTGCCCCTTTTGGTGGTCTGCCTGGGCGCTTGGCATCGCTCGGACGTGTGCACTTTTCCTTCGGCGAGGACCATCGAGGAGCATCCAACACGCGCGAAACCGAAAAAAACAGGGAATGGACGTCCGAGCGATGGCCAGTGGGTGGTTGGAAGTTTGATTGGTCCGTTGGCTGGTTGGCAGCTGGGCTGGCCGGCGGTGCGGCTCAGGGAAGGAAAAGGTACCCATACCTCTGTCCTTCGCCCGTTTTCCCTCTTTGGGCCTCCCGGGAGGCCCTCGCCGCCACCGCTGGATTCGCCTCGAAATTCTGGTCACAGCGCACCCCAGGAGAGGTCCGATGGCGGCATCGGTACCGTGAAATTCCCCACTGGCTGGATGGCAGGCTGGGTGGTCGGCAGGCTACTTGGATACAAAGGGAGCCCGTTGACCGGCAGGCAGGCTGGGCGGCTGGCAGACTGGACGGTTGGCAGGTTGGCTTGCAGGTTGGGCGGTTGGCACATCGATTTCCAGGGGCAACGCTGCGGGCGGGATTGGCTTCGGGGGGGGGGATCGATGCACCGACCCTCGATCGCCTACTCATCGCCGATGGGGGCCCGACAGCCCGCTCCGCCCACGAACCTGTGTCAGTGATTCCTCTGCCGAGCCAGTCCCCCCCTCTGCCGTTCTCCCCCTCGTACCTCGGAGGGGGGAGATGCGACACCACCGCCACCAGTGGATGCCTCCCCGAGCTGGAGGCTGGGATGTCTCGAGCGAGACCGGGGGGCCACGCCACCAGGGAGACCCCCCTTGCCCCTCACATCTCCTCGCCCCGGTGGTGTTGGTGTCGACTCTCCTTGCTCCTGATATCCGGCTACCAGGGAGCTGGGTGAACATGACATTCAGGAGGGAAAACAACACACTGACACAATTAATCGCCCACTCCCCAGAAAATATGGGAAAATATGGGCAGTGGTGGGGAAGACAGAATCCCAGAACATATGGAAAAATATGGGGAATCTGGTTATTTGTGTGTATTTATTTGTGTGTCCTGGGGCCCCTTCAATGACATGGCCGGCCTGGGGGAGGGCTGAAGACACACACGGTCGGCTGTCTTTCCATCGCCCGGCCCGCGTCTGGCTGGGCACGCCGGGCCCCGCGCGTAGCCAGCGCGTGGCCTCCGGCTGCTGCCCGTGTGAATCCGGCCACGTGTGGTGCGTGTTCGGGGGCGGGAAAGAAAGGGGTGATGACTAGGGGGAGGGTGGATATCATGGCGGGGGGCATGATACTTCCCCAGATTTCATGGCGCCTCTTCTTATTTCAATACGGTCCTGGCCCCCCTGCTGGGCCGCGCACATGCCGCCGGCCATGATTTGCACCCCCCCCTCTTGGACACCCCCCTCTTGGCCGCTCCCGATGTGTGTTCCAGCCTCGTGGTCGTGGGTTCTCTGGCGGGTTGCCAGGCCGGCCAGCAGGATGGCAGGTTGCCCTGCGAGTTCGCTGGAGAGGAGACGAGGTCAAAGGCGCTGTCGGAGTCACCGGCGTGCTTGCTGAGGGATCACGGCGGCGAGCGCAGACCGATTGCACTTTGCAAGAGGTCAGTGCTGCACTTTCGTGGATCCGCAGTTTTTGTCTGGATGTCGAGGGCTCGGGAATGTTGGATGGTTGTTCTGTGACAAGAGATTGGGCCTCTGGAGCGACGATTTCCTTTCGTTTTCGAGGGATCGTCTGGGAGCGTGGGCCCATGCTTTACTGTTTTGCGATCGGTCGTGGCTGTGGTAGCGATGCTTTCCGAAACGAACTCGCAGTGAATGTGATCTCTCGCCAGGTGTATGCAGTAGTGGCCAACCTTGCGGACGGTACTTCGGCCACACCGGCAAGTCAGTTTTAATGATTCAAGCTGTGCTTGCAAATCGCAGCCTCCGTAGTCAGTGCATGTACCACGTTGATGGGGCAGCATGCTTCAGCTGACACATGGATCGGCTCTCGTCTCTGGGTCCCCTCAGGAGAGAGAAGGATCGTGGCTTTAGGAGCCTGGAAATGCTCTTTACCAGGATCGCTGCATCGGGATCGCGGGCGCAAGGTTTTTTTTACGAGGTGTCGTGGCTTCGGGAGCGCGGGGGCCATGCTTTTTACACGGGGCCGTCGTATGAGAAGCGAGGGTTCGTCTGCGCTGGCGTGACTGGAGCCGCTCGGTTGTCCAAACCTCCAGCATCTTCGTCTGATGGCCACGCAAGGGGGGGGGGCTGGCGAATATTTCTTTCTCCTCCACGTCCTCCGCTTCTTCCTCCTCCTGCTCCTCCTAAGCCTCCTTCTTCTCATCCTCACCCTCCTCCCTTTCCTGCTCCCGCTCCTTTCCCCATTTCGTCTCTTCCCTCATTGCTCTATGCATAGCGTGCCTCTTGGTCCTCTCCGTCATCTTCCATGCGCTCATTCCTTGACATTCTCCACCTCCCTCGTCTCAGATCTCCTTCCCATGATGTACCTGTCTTGGCTTGCTTCTCGCGCGCCATAATCCCAAAGAACATGCATCTGCCCATGAATGCTCGTGCGCTGCTTCTTTCAGCAGCTTCTTGACGGTCGCTCCTGGGGCCATTGCGGGCTGCAGTTCTTTACAACGCATCGCATTCGCGAACATATTCAGATGCCCAGTTTGTATCATCAGTCTAGCATGGTTGTTGCGATTCGTCATTCTCGCCTGTGCCTTTCCACATCACGACCCTCTCCCCTCTCATCTTTCTCTCTCTCTCTCTCTCACTCTTTCTCTCTCTCTCTCTCTGTTCTTACGACTCGCGACTCGGTGTCAGCGCGGGCAGGACGGCCGTAACCACATCATCACGCAAGCCACCGAGCATGTAGCGGTGCTCGAGACCTGCAAGGTGCGACGGGGGGCGCTTGTCTATTGTAAATATTGCCTGCATCTCTACATGTTGCAGGGCCCGCCCACTCCTCCTCTTCCTTCATCTCCTTCTCCTCCTCCTCCTCCTCCTCCTCCTCCTCCTCCTCCTCCTCCCTCTCCTCCTCCCTCTTCTCCTCGACCTCCCTCGACCCTTGATTCTCGATCCTCCTCGATCCTCCTCGATCCTCCTCCTCCTCCTCCTCCTCCTCCTCCTCGCGCCACTCCCTGCCCTACCCGCGCCGCCTCATCCTCCTGTGCCTCCCCTTGCTCCCTTCTCCTCCGCCTCGACAGGTAAGGATGCTGTTGAAATCCCAGGAGTGGTGCTTCGGCACGACTGAGGATTCTCAGACAGTTGAGATCTCGTGGACCACTTCTCGCAGTGAACATGCGTTTGTGCATGGGGCCTGCGAAGAGGGTACTTGGGAGGGGGGGTGTCTTGCATCATCGTTGATGCGTCCTGGGCTTGGACTGGTCCTCATCCGCCTGCAGGACCTTGCAGGATCCCGCCAGGCCTGACTGACCCAGGTCTGGATTGACCCAGGTCAGACGATCCCCGAGCTTCGGTCCTGGGCTCCGCCGGCCCAGCATGCTCGGGGGCCGTCCTGGGACGTGCCGGGGAGGGCCGCCGGTGCCTCACCCGTTCCCGTGCCCCTGCCCGCTCCTCTGCCCCTCGTCCTGCGCAGGCCCCAGGGTGCAGTGAGCTGCTCGACCCCACGGGAGCGAGCTGCTGGCTGCCGGACCTCCGCCCAGCACTGGCCAGGCGAGCTCCTTCGGCGCGGCAGCGGCTATCCCCCGGCAGCTGCCGTCGCCGGGCAGCGGATCTCGGCGTTGGCCTCGCCTCGCCCTCCCCTCCGTCGTCGTCGTCGTCGTCGTCGTCGTCGTCGTCGTCGTCGTCGTTGTCGTCGTCGGCGGCGTCGTCGTCGTCGTCGTCGTCGTCGCTCTCCTCCCGGCAAGTGCTTGTCCGCCCGCCAGGCGCTGGAGGCCCGGGGCTGCACGGTCACCTACCTGCCGGTCGACGGGCAGGGGCTCTCAGGAGGGAAAGAAACACACAGACACAATTAATCGTCGATTCCCCAGAAAATGTAGGAAAATATGGGAAATGGGGGGGAAGACAAAAAACTCAAACATATTGGAAAATATGGGGAATCTTTTTATTTGTGTGTTCTGGGGCCCCTGTAGAAAGGGCACGATCGGGGCAGCGCAGTCGAAGAAGAAAAAACACCATCAGCAGAAGCGTTTTGCGCTCCGCGCGGATTTCTTGGAGCCGCGCTGCCCCCCCCTCCCCCCCCCAGGCGACGCCTCCGGCGTCGGCCCTGGCGCGCTCCGCGCGCCAGGGAGGGAAGGTCTAGCGCAGATCCAAGGTCTCAGGGTTGTGTTTCTCGTGGAAGGTTTCTTGCGGTCGGGCCTCCACCGAGGCTCGTGAGGAGGAGGAGGAGGAGGAGGAGGAGGAGGAGGAGGGCCTCCACTGACTGTATTCGCCCTCCCCCTCGGCAGCGTGGGCCTCCCCCGAGGCTCGTGAGCCCCGACGCCGTGGAGCAGGCCGCGCCGCCGCTTGCCCGCCGCCCGCCCCCCCATCCCAGATCTCGCCGCGGAGGCCGCGCCTCCGAGACGGCCCGCGCCCGCGCCCGTCCTCGCTAGGTCCTCATCGGTCCTCGCTACTCCCCGATCCTCGACTCTCGCTCCTCCTCCTCCTCCTCCTCCTCCTCCTCCTCCTCCGCCTCCGCCTCCTCCGCTCGTCGTCATCATCATCATCATCATCATCATCATCATCATCATCATCATCATCATCATCATCATCATCATCATCATCATCATCATCATCATTATCATTCTCATTCTCATTATCATTATTATCATCATCATCATCATCATCATCATCATCATCATCATCATCATCATCATCATCATCATCATCTTCATCATCATTATCATCAACCCCTCCTCCTCCTCCCCCTCCTCCTCGTCCTCTTCCTCGTCTCTCCTCCTCCTTGTCTTCTTCCGTCCTCCCTCCTCCTCCTCCTCCTCCACCTCCTCCTCTTCCACGCTTGGTCGGCTCGGTGAGGAGGAGGAGGAGGAGGAGGAGGAGGACGAGGAGGAGGGGCAGGAGGAGGATCGAGGATCGGGGAGGACCGATGCTCGAGGATTGAGGAGAAGAATCGAGGAGGATCGGGTGATGGTGTCGTTGCCGCGTCGCTGCGCCCTGGTAGGCTTGTGCGCCGCCGGCGCGGCAAGACGGCCAGCGCGCGCGCGAGGGAGTTCGAGTTCACGGTTCGGTCGGGTCGGTTGCGTCGCCGTTGTTGGCGTTCGGCCGGTTCGTTTCGATTCGGGCCCACCCGTGCTGAGGCCCCGCCCGTGTCGGACCTTGGCGCGCTATCGCTCAGCCACGCGCAGAGGGGGGAGGGGGGAGGGGGGAGGGCGTCTTAGAAGCACCCCTGCTTTTTAGAAGGCGCGGGCCTGATCTTTAGATGTAAGGCCGGCGCCTTCTAAGAAGCAGCCTCCTTCTAAGAAGCCCCCCCCCTCCCTCCACCCCCTTGTGCGCGCCGCCAAATCGCGCCCTCTCGCCGTCGCTCCTTGGCATCTTTTGGCTTACCCCCGCCCCCACGGGGCCACGGTATCTCAACCCTGGAGCCGTCTGGGGGTCTGAGGTGGCCCAAAATTGCGGGCAATACTTATGCCTATATCCACTGCAGCATGGAGTTTCGGGCTCCCTTCCCAAGAAACCCGAGGCGCACTGGATATGGATAAATTTGCCCTCCAGAGGCTCGATTTCTATCCATGTCCAGCGCGCCTCGGCCTTGCGGCGCCGCTTCCCCAAAAGAGTCCAAGAGGCACTGAATGTGGACGTGAATCCTGCCCGCAAAAATGGCTCGGGCCCCAGCAGGGGGGGAAGACAAAAACCCAGAAAATATGGGAAGTGGGGGGGAAGACAAAATCCCAGAAACTATGGACAAAATTGGGGGAATCCTTTCATTTGTGTGTATGTCTTTGTGTGTCCCAGGGCCCCCTCACAACATGGGTCGGGCCCCAGCAGGAAGGGGGGGAGGAGGTCCGAGGTCCTGGGCTCGGGGGCGTCTTCTTGCCTCGTGCTCGGCCTCCGGGGTGCCGCCCTCGGGCCCCAGGGCCGTGGCACAAAAGAGCAGCTCCACGGGTGGAGAAACCGCACTTTGGTGTCGCTCGGACGTGTGCACTCTTTCTCGGCGGGGAGTACTTAGGAGCACCCCTGATCATGTGGCGAAACAGCCACGCACGAGACCGACAACAGCACAGGGAATGGACGTCCGAGCGATGGGGAGCGCACGAGGTGGACCCCGAGAGGGGTCTGTCGAGCAGTGGCGAAGCGTCCCGGCTCGCCTATCGCCCCACCAAGCAATGTTCGAAGAACCTTTTGTGGCTTCCAGGAAGTGTTCTTAGAACATTTCTGGCTGGGGCTGTCTTGCTTGAACACATCGGGTTTGTGTTCTAAGAACATTGCTTTTGTTCTTTGAGTATTTTTGGGGTTCTGAGAACATTTCGTGGTGTGACTATAGGAATGCCGGGACGGTCGGTCCCTGCTCAAGTCTGGGGACTGATTTTGAATGGATTTGGCTTCGTCCCCCTTTCTGACCGAGTTCTTGGGGTCTCAATCAATTCAGGCCCCCTGCCGCCCCCAATCTCAACGCCACCACCCCACCACCCAAGTTGGAAATGGGCCCCTCGAACCCCGAAGGGAACAGCCCATTCTCCATCCAGGAGAGTAAATCCGCCAGTTGGACCCAGGCCACGCCAGTAGGGATAGGGATCGGTTAAACGATGCTCACCCTCCTCAGATCAGGACCGTCCTGCGGTGTTTGGCCCTCGCTTTGATAAGCGCAGCGCCCCGCTTTCTCCTCTCCTCTCCCCTCCATTCCTCTCCTCTCCTCGTTCTGAGGCATGGTAATTCGTGGGCAGACGACGCTGCGAAGAGAGGCGCCCGTCTCCATCCCACGGCAAATCCTGATGCTCTGGACCAGATTGAACGTTCCCTCCAGATTTCGAGGGCTGTGGTTCTGCTGGCCACTAGGTTGCTCCCAAGGTGGCCTCGGTTGGACCTGTCCAATGTGGACTATGCGCGTTCTCCCAACAAGGACCGCGAGGGCAAGCTTCTGCATGATTGGTCCTGGACGGGGGAGTTCTGGCAGTGTCTGTGTCGTCTGCGAGGTAAGCCCGGAGCTAGCCGCCCTTCAGATGGGGTTTGCTCTGCTCTGCCTCGTCGGAATCCCCAGCTCCTCCAGAAACAGGGTCACCGCTGTGCTGTAATAGATTGTTATGATGGGCCGTTCCTGTGCATTTGCCTCAACTGCCATTTTTTACAGGACTGGCGGAAACAATCATGAAGCTCGGAGATGCCTGCGCGGGCCGCGAAGAGCCGGGTGCGGGTAGAACTGCGTGGGAGTACTTTTGTAAGGGCCGCCGCCCCCTGCAGCGGAAGCGAGAGAAGACTGTTACGTTCCTCCCCTCGCCGTGGACGGACCCCTTTCTCTGCCGCTCGGCCGCAGCCACCCTCTCCCTTAGCCTCGTGATGTTCCAACCTACTTCAGCCTGGACCACCAGAAAGGATTTCGAGCGCCAGAAAAAAAGGAACCGAAACTCGATGGTTTGTACGTGTCGGGCCCTGGGAGACACTCATTCGACACTGTTTCGACACTCTTTCGACACTCTTTCGACACGTTTCCGGGTGCTCGAAATTATTTCAGGGATGTGGTCCGCAAGTGCGGTGGGAGCAACTTAACCTTAGCCTCTGGTGAGGGGAAAGATGACTCCGCGCTGAGCGACGCTCCCTCGCCCGAGGCGGAGGAGGCTTGTGCTGGGCCTCCTGTGGAGCCCTCCCAGAGGGAGGCGTTGCGACAGGTGCGCCGTGCTCTGGAGGCCCAGGAAGACGAGGCGCCCCTCTTGCCTCCGTCAGCTGGCGCCGAGCATTCAGGCGACTCAGACTAACCTCACCCTGCCTGAGTCGCTCTCCAGACAGAGTGGTGGAAGGTCCTCTTGCTGAGGGTCTGCAGAGGTTGATGTCAAAACAACCTCTCCTCTCCTCTCCTCCTCCCCCTCCTCCCGTCAGGGTCCGCATGCTGTGCCCGCCCTATTTCGGTACACCCCTCACCAGGATCGTGGCACCACAGGGGGCTCCACCGAAGGCCCGCCCATATCGGCACACTCCTCACGAGACTAGTGGCCCCAGGGGGAGCTCCACCGAAAGCGGTACCCACAATGCAGTTTTCACGATTGCATATGGTTGGGGCTTCGCCAGAGTCATTTTATATCCTGGCGATGACGGGCGTTACTGGGGGGGTGCGGGGGTGGAGGGGGCCAGTGACGCCACGATTCTCGCCAGCGCCGTCTGAGAATGCGGGGTTACGGCGCCGCATGGGGATGCGGAATACGGCGCCAGCCCGAATCGTGACGTTCTCAGGGGGGGAGGGGTGGCGGGGCCAGAAACGGGTGGCACCGCGAAGAATATGCACGACTTGCCCCTAGGGGGAGGGAGATTTTCGAGGTCTTCGGACGATCTCGCCCGTTCTCGGCGGTCTTCCAGCCTCGGGGTGCCTCCTGGCGGCTGCGCCTCGCCGAGAGCGCCGGCCCACTGCCCCGCGCCGTGCTCTCCTCCTCCTCCTCCTCCTCCTCCTCCTCCTCCTCCTCCTCCTCCTCCTCCTCATCCTCCTTCCCTCCCAGGGTGGAGGTAATAACCCATACTCTCAGAGGGAGAACCCTATGCCGCTACCCCCCGCCCGTTTTCCCTTTTTGGGGCCTCTTGGGAGGGCCTCGTCGCCACCGCTGCATTCGCCTCGGAATCCTGGTCAGAACGCATCTCGGGAGAGGTCCGGGGAGTAGCGGTATCGGTACCTTTTGGTTTCCCCATGCCAGGCGGCGAGCCTGGGGCGGGGACGTGAAAAATGGCGGGCCTTCTCAGAAGCCTTCCGAGAAGTCTTCTGAGCCTTCCCAGAAGGCGAGCAGATCTTCGCAGAAAGGCCGGAGGGCTTCCGAGAAGCCCCGCTGCCTTCTGAGAAGGCGTGCTCCTTCTCTCAGGAGGGAAAGAAACACACAGACACAATTAATCGTCGATTCCCAGGAAAATATAGGAAAATATGGGAATTGGGCGGGAAGACACAAAACCAGAAAATATACGAAACTATGGGGAACCTTTTTATTTGTGTGTATTTCTTTGTGTGTCCCAGGGCCCCTTCATTCTCACTCCCCCCCCGGGGCTCGCCGCCGACACACCCCGACCCTGCCCCCGTCGCCACGGCGGGATTCGCATCGAAATTCTGGCCCGAGCGCAGGAGCGCATCTCAGAAGGGCACCGGCAAGCGGCTGTATCGGTGTCTTCCCCCCCCCACACCTCCTCCTCCTCCTCCTCCTCCTCCTCCTCCTCCTCCTCCTCCTCCTGCTTCTCCTCCTCCTCCTCCTCCTGCTTCTCCTCCTCCTCCTCCTCCTCCTCCTCCTCCTCCTCCTCCTCCTCCTTCCGTTGGAAGGCAGGCGGCGTCGGGTCAGCCCAGGGCTCCATGGTTCGTGTCGGACTGTGCCCTCCGCATCCTGGAGCTTCTCTTCATGAGTTGGGCGGCCCTTGTCTTAGGTGTTCGATCATGGGCCCCTTGTTGTTCACCGCAGCTATCCAACTTCCTCGCCGAGACCAGAGGAAACCGCCGGGAACCGACGAAGACCGCCGATGACCGTGAGGAGGCCGCCGAAAGCCGCCCGAAGACCGCCGATGACCATCGCAGTCGGCCCAGGAGCGACGTGTAACAGGGGGCTCCATGTTCGAACGCGTGACCTCCCTCGACCAGGCCGTGTCGCCTGCCGTGCACCGCCCACCGAACCGCCCCAGTCCAAGCCGAAGGCCCCGACCTGCCGTGGAGTTCCAATGCGGCCGGGGGGGGGGGGGGTCGGGGAACCGGGGCAAGAACACGCAGGAAGCCCGTGCCCTCCCCACCCCCGAAATTCGGGCCGGACGAAAGGGGGCGATTGGGAAAGGGGGGGTTATCGGGGGTGGACAGAACCCCCAACAGTGACACGTCGATTAGTGAATTGTCCGTTTTCGGTTCTCGAGAGGGCGCCGTGGCCCTTATTTTCCAGGCTTGCGCCCGCCAAATTTGGGCCTCAGGTAGTTTTCACTAAACCACGTTTTACTAAAGGGGGGTCTGTCCATCCCCGAGGTTACGAAATTTGCTGCAGGCAGCTGGTTTCGGCCTCACCGAGGGGCACATTTCTCGATACATATGCCCGCCTCTGGCGCCGGGAGGCGCCGGGAAAATCAGCTACGTGAGCTGGTTCTCAAACCCCCCTTTGCTATCCCCCCCTGTCGCCCGACCCGAGAAACTCGGGCCTTCGGTTTGGACTGGGGTGGTCTGGTGGGCAGTCCGTCGTCTCCTCCGGTCGTCGTTCGCCCTTCGTCGCCGGCGTCGTCTGCCCCTCCCCCGCTGCCGGGGCCTCGGGCCTCTGCGCGGGCGCCGCGCGAGGCGAACCTGGAATCCCAGCGCCCCCTCCTCCTCCTCCTCCTCCTGCTCCTCCTCCTTCTCCTCCCCTCCTCCTCCTTCTCCACCCTCGTCTCCTCGATCTTCCTCGATCCTCCTCCTCCTGCTCCTCCTCCCGCTCCTTTTCCCCCTCCTCCTCCCTCTCCTGCTCCTCGTCCTCCTCCTCCCCCTCCTCCTCCTCCTCGTCCCCCCGCTCGGTTCTCGCGGGAGTGGCAAGCGGCCAGGCACAGGGGTGTAGGAGGGGGACGAGGAAGGAGGAGGAAGAGGAAGAGGGGAGATATGGGGGCGCATAGAGAAAGAGAGAGGAGGAGGAGGACGAGGAGGAGGAGGAGGAGGGGGGACTCACGGACCCACGCAGCACCGCCGTCCCTTGGGGACCACGCTGCGGGGCCAGCAACGAGCGACGGAACGATGTCCCTTCGCTTTCCCCATCTTGAGCTCTTCTCGTGGGGCCCTATCATGGGGTCGGGGTCTTTTGGGGTGCCTCTTGGAGCCTCTCTGGAGGCTTTGGAGGCCTCTTGGAGGTCTCTTTGGGGGTCCTCGGGACTTCGTTGGGGCTTCTGGGCGGTCTCTGGGGCTATTTCGGCGACAGGGCGCCTTCGCTTTCCCCCTCTTGTGGGCCCCTCTTGGAGCCGTCTTGGGCGCTTTCTGGGCTGTTTAAGGGCCTCGTGGGCCGTCTTCGGGCCTTTAGGGGGCTTTGGGGCTCTCTAGGCGGCGTCGAGGGCCGTCTTGGGGTGATAGTGAAGGCCTCGCAGGCCGTCGTGGACGCTGCGTGGATCTACACAGCGAAGGGGCTGCAACGCATCCTCCCTGCCGGATTGGGAGGATTTTAGCCTCTTGGAGTCCTTTTGACGGCCTCCTGGGGCCTCCTCTACCTGTTCCTCTTCCGTTCCCTCTCCTTATAGATATCTTCTTCCTGTCGCACCCCGAGGCCAGTTTTTAGGGCAGGCCGTTTCGCCTGAGTCTGCCTCACCATTTATGATTATGATGCTTAAGCGATGGCAACAGTTTCACACATGGAGGGCGGGTGTTTTTCAAAATGTAACTCTCGCCTTGGTGCCGCGCACATTTGTTTTCAAACTTTGCGGGCGGGCGAGGTTGAGGGCGGGTCGTTTTCAAAATGTGGCTCTCGCCTTAGCGCCGCGCACATTCAAGAGTTTCACGAATTGAGGGCGGGTGGTTTTGAACATGTGGATTTCGCCTTAGCGCCGCGCGCATTCTTCTCAACATTTGCAAGAGTTTCACGGATTGAGGGCGGGTGGTTTTTTAAAGGTGGCTCTCGCCTTAGTGCGCGCACATTCGCTTTCAAACTTTGCAATAGTTTCACGGGTTGAGGGCGGGTCGTTTTCAAAATGTGGTTCTCGCCTTAGCGCCGCGCACATTCCTTCTAAACATGTGCAATAGCTTCACTGATTGAGGGCGGTTCCTTTTCAACATGTGGTTCTCGCGTTAGCGCCGCGCACATTCGTTTTCAAAAATTGCAAGAATTTCACGGCTACCCATGATCAACGTACCAGAAATAGTGTTCTGGAGGGATTCAGGATTATGCGGGTGCAACAGTTATGTTGATTCTCGGTGCTGAAATCCCAAAAATGGAGTTATCACACGATTCCGGATCGTCAAAACGCAGCGTTGAAATCCCGAGAGCAATGTTTTGGCATGCGTCAGGATCTTCAAACGGTTGTCGTCCAACGAGGCAGTTCCCCCAAAGGGAATGAACCGATGTAGAGGCCTATGAAGAGGGAGCTTGGAGGGAGGGTTTATTCCAACATCGTTGATGGTTCTTGGGTTTACACTGGTCCTCGTCCCCCTCCTCCGACCTGAGGCCCCCGAGCTCGTCGACCTGAGGCGCCCCAGCAGCCGTCGAAAAATCACACTCCTTGAGCCCGACGTTCTCGCCGTTCCCGAGAGGGGCAACTATCTTGCACGCCGAGGATCCCCAGGGTCGGCGAATCAGAAGGACGACGATGCGGAGGAGCGGGGCAGGAAGGGGGCGTGCGCACGGGGGCGCGCGCACACCCCGCACGTGTTTTGTCTGATATCGGGCTCCTCTGCCTCGCGGAAAGGCCATCACAGCGCGCACTGTCTGCGTCAGCATCATGCACTCCAACAACGAGACCGGCACGCTGCTGCCGATCAAGGACGGGATGCGGCAGGGAGGGGAAGGGACCACCCGTGCGCACGAATCAAAGGAGAGCACATGCATAAACATGATTTGTGAGCCAGCGTGGACCCCACACCGCCTGTTTCTAGAAATCTACGTTGAGCAATCTGCGTGGAGCAGCGTATGTGGTGCAATATATGTGGTGACATCTATGCGGTGCAATCTATGGGGTGCAATACATAGTGTGCGATCTATGTTGTGCGAACTATGTTGTACAGTATACACGTTGTACGATCTAGGTTGTGCAATCAATGTGTTAGAATATGTGTGGTGCAACCTATGCTGTGCAATCGATGTGGTGCAATGTATGCGGTTCGATCGATGTGATGCTGTATATGTTGTGCAACCAATGTGTTGTAGTATATGTGATGAGATCCATGTTGTGGAATCGATGTGCTGCGGTCAGTGCTGTACAATATATGTGGTCCAATCTATGTGGTGCTATGTATATATATATGTGTATATGTGGTGTAATTTGTGTGGTGCAATACATGTGGCGCAATCTTTGCGGTGAGATTCTGCGAGGCCGCGATGAGGCGGAAACGGGGCGATGACGGCGACACCATAGCCGCAATACGGGCAATTAGGCCCAGACCACGGTCGGCGACGAGGTGGCGACGGGGCGGCAACGGCGACAACATAGCCACCAGACCGACAATCAGGCACAGACGACGGGCGGCGACGAGGCGACGACGGGGCGGCGACGGCGACAAGATGCCGCCAGATTCTCCTTTTCTAAGAAGAGAATAGACTCTACCCCCCCCGGACTTATCGCTTCCCCCTGGGATAGTATCATATCATACATATATATATATACTGCACACTCGTCCATCCTAAATATGAAATCGTATCATCCCAGCCAGGCCGGGTTCCCCCCCTGAGGCTCCCCTTGTAAAAACCATTATGCGGTGACATTTTTTGTCTTTGCATAACACTTCGCGCATCCCTTGCAAACAATAGGACGAAGTGCACACGCGCGCGTCGCCGCGCGCATGCCGCAATCCTTCAAAAACCTTCGGTGCTGGAAGGATTTCGCAATCGAGTTTCCAAAAAACATACAAAACATATGGTTTCGCAACACTGATCTGCTAAGAAAGCTTCCGCGCGAGATCTTGCGATTTTTCTTTCTTTATATACAAACATAGGTTTTTCAAGATTTTCGCACAATGCTACCAAACGGGCTTCGCGCGCGCGCATGTCGAAATCTGTCGAACGCCATTGCGCGTGTGCCGTCGCGAGAATCCTCTTGCAAAAATTGGGACGAAGTGCAGACGCGCGCGTCGTCGCGGGCGTATGCCGAAAACCTTCAAAACCCATTGGTTTCGGAAGGAGTTCAAAATCGTGCGCCCAAAAAACATACAAAAACCCAAGGTTTCGCAACACGGATTTTCAACAAAAGCGTGCGCGCGCGCTCTTGCGTCGTCGTCGTCGTCGTCGTCGTCGCCGTCCTCCCTCCTTCCGCGTCGTCGTCGTCGTCGCCTACGTCGTCCTCTGTCTTTTCTCGTGTTCGTCGTCGTCGTCCTCTTTGGCGTCGTGGTCGTTTCCGTCGTCGTTGTCGCCGTGGTCGTCCTTCCTCCTCCTCCCACTTCGTCGTCGTCGTCCGTCGTCGGCGTCTCGTCGTCGTCCCTCCTATTTCGTCGCCGTCGTCGTCGTCGTTGTCGTCGTCGTATTCCCTCCTTCCTCGTCGTTGTCGTCGTCGGCGTCGCCGTCCTTCCTCCTTCGTCGTCGTTCGCGTCGTCGCCGTCCTCCCTCCTCCCTCGTCGTTGTCGTCGTTGTCGTCGTTGTCGTCGTTGTCGTCTTTGTCGCCGTCGTCGTTCTTCCTCCTCCCTCGTCGTCGCCTTCGTTGGCGTCGTCGTCGTCGTCTTCGTCGTCGTTGTCGTCGTCGAAGCCGTCGGAGACGTCGTCGGTGTCGTCCTAGTCGTTGTCGTCGGTGTCGTCGTAGTCGGTCTTAACAGGTTTTGCAAACCAAGTTGCGGCTGGGTGGGTGGGATGTTTGCGCGAGCAGTGGAGATGACGATTTCAAGTTCAGCAGAGTGGATTGCACCACATAGATTGTACAACGCGTATATTCTCCTTCTAAGAATGAATTTTAGGATTCACCACCCTTCCCAGGCCGGACTTATCACTACCCTTTGGACATGTGCAATTTACATATGGTTATGCCCCATCGTCCACCCAGGCAGGCTGGAGTGCGTACCCTCGCCTCATCTAGTGCCAAAACATACTATGCGCGCCTTCGTTTGTCAAAAACCACCAGTTTCCAATAATACCTTGCAAACGATGGGACGAAGTGCGCACGCGCGCGTCGCCGGGCGCGCATGCCGCAATCCTTCAAACGTCCGTAAGGATTTCAAAATCGAGCGTCCCGAAAACAACATATTTCAAAAACGTGGTTTCGCAACAAGGGTTGTCAAAAAAAACATGCGCCCGCGCTCTTGCGAATTCTTGAAAATACCAATAGGTTTCCAACATTGTCATGAAATGCTACCAAGCTAGCTAGCCCCTCGCGCGCGCACGTCGAAATCGCTCGAACGCCCTTGCGCGCGTGCTGTCGCAATAATCCCTTACCAAAAATGGGACGAGGTGCACGCGCGCCCGTTGTCGAAGACATTCAAAACGAGCGTCCCGAAGACATGTTAGAACACATGGTTTTGCAACACCGTTTTCAAAAGATGCCTGCCTGCGCGCGCTCTGGCGAAGATTTCGGGAAACCATAGGTTGTTCAACATCGCCATCAACTTCTGCCAGTCGGGCCTCTCGCGCCGCATGTCGAATTCATCCGAACGCCCTTGCGCGCGTGCCAGGGGCACGATCCGTGTCAAATAATTCCACGCGGTCCACTCGCGCGCTTCGGCCGCGCGCGCATATCGAACTCCTTCCAAAACTTCCATTACCGACGCGAGGACATCGTCATCGTGATCGGCGGGCGTGATCAACATTGTCGCCGTCATTGGCCTTGCCGTCGTCATCGCTACCGTCGTCACCATCATCGCTACTCTCATCATCGTGTCTACCGTTGTCGGCGTCGCCATGATAGCCCGCCCACGTCACCGACTCGCACTGAAGTGCCCGCTGGAAGTGCCCAGCGGTCAGCGCCACCGCGGCCGCGTCGGTCGGGCCTTACTAGCTGGTCGCTGCGCGCGCAAGAGCGTGCGCGGGTAAGCGCGGCCGCAAGGATGCACCAGCCAACGCCAAGCACGCATCGCAGTCGCCGTCGCATGGGATTGGCAAACAAAGTTGCGAGTGGGTGGGTTGGATGTGTGCGCGAGCAATGGAGTTGACACTTGCAAGTTCGGCAGGGTGACTTACATTACATAGATTGCACCGCGTAGGTTGCAACACATACACTTCGTATTGCATAGATTGCACCACCTCGTTTGCACACCAGATGTTCAACAATACAGGTTGCATGACATAGAATTTACATTATCTACTGCACCATATCATGTTTACAACGTAGATTGCACCGCGTAGATTGCACCACAGGCAATGCACAACATGGGTTTCACAACATAGGATGAACCATATAGGACGCTGCGATTATATTGCTCCACATATATTGCCCCACACCGATTGCTGGAGTCACATGTTTTGGGGCCCACGCAGCCTAATCTATTTCCATGCAGTGTGTCCCCTTCTCAGGGCTCATTTCGATTTCTCTGATTCGATTTGATTCGTTTTCGATGGATTCCGATTCCGATCCGATTCGTGTTCGGATTCCGATTTGGATTCCGATTCCTTACTGGAGGCCTACTGGACCGCCGATTTCCGCCGATTCGACTTTTCCAGACCCGGCTGCCGATTTCCGCCGATCCGATTCATTTCGATCCCCGATCCGACTTCTCGATTCGATTCTGGGCTCTCCTGCCTTCTCGGGGCCAGTGGCTGTCTTGGGGCGGGCTGGGGCCTCGATGCAGCCATCCTGGGCCGTCTCGGGCTCTATTCGCCGCCTGGTTGCGTCCCCACGCGACCCCTGAACCCCCCGGATGCTTCTTTTCCTCCACGCGCCCCCAAACGATTCAGAAAGCAGCAGTTTCCGAGAGGCAAGGTCGTCAAATTGGGTGTTAGGCTCCTCCAGTTGCAGGGCAATCTGGGTGGAGTGGCTCCCGCACGCGTAGATCTCAGTTGCGCAGTGCTGTCCACAACGTTCCAGGAGCCGCCCGATCTGCCAGCAGGCTGCCCGGCGCCAACATCGTACGAGGTGGACGTGGCGTTCTACAGTTAGAGTGGCCTCACAGAGGAGGAGGAGGAGGAGGAGGAGGAGGAGGTGGAGGAGGAGGAGGAGGAGGAGGAGAACCAGGAGGAGGAGGGGGAGGAGGAGGAAGAGGAGGAGATTTCAACGTCCTACTATGGTTCAACATTCGCCATTCTGATCGTTCTTATCATCGCGCCCCTGTTCAACATCATGGTACGTTTGCTCCCCGTATCCCTTCATTCGTCCTTTCCCATCATCGCTACACTTCCTCCTCCACCCCTCCACCGCCCGTCCAATCTGCTCCCTCCCCCCCTGCCACTATATACCCATCCCTCCACCCCGACGTCACTCCACCCCGACGTCCTCTCCTCCCTCCCTCTTCCCCGTACCCCGCACCCCCCTCGGCGCGTTTCCCGTGCCGAGGAGATCACGGCGCGCGTCCGCAAGGCACCGCACAGGGTCTTCGTGCACTGCGATGCGTCGCAGAGTCTTGGGACCGTGTGTGCGCAGGGTACGACAGGTTCGCGCCGTGTCGACGCGTTCAAGGTTGAACGCCGCCAGTGCCCCAGAATCGGCGGTTATCGAACGATCTGCGCTATCGGAGCGCCTCGATCATTAGAGGTTGCACGTCGAAGGGGAAAACACGGCATGACCATAGTATGTCGCGGCTCCGCGTGGATGTATCAGGCCGGCGCCTGGGCCCACATGGCGGCGCCTCAATCGCCGCCCCTGGCGCGCTCCGCGCGCCAGGGGGTGGGGTTCAGCGCGGATCCGAGAAATCCGCGCGGATCTTTGAAAGTTCATATTAGTCGGCGGGGGGCGAGGGGGGGAAAGGAGAAGGAGGAGGCCTTCTCAGAAGGCGGCGGGACTTCTCGGAAGCCCTCGGCCCCTTCTGAGAAGTTTTCTGTGTCTTCGGGGAAAGCTGAGGAAGCTTCTGATTGCCGGGGGATTCCCGAGCCTTCTGAGAAGGCCCGCCCTTTCTCACTTCCCCCCTCGGGCTCGCCGCCGAGTCAATGCACGTTTTTCTTCCTCTCGCACGATCCGCGCGGCGTCAGAGTCAACCGCCGGGGTGGTCACGGCACGAGCCTGCTGTGTGGTGGTGGGAGGCGGGCCTGGGGCGCAGGAGGCGGGCTTGGGGCGCAGGAGACAGGCGAGGAGCAGCAGCAGCGGCAGCGCAGCAGCAGGAGGAGGGATGGTGATGACGCGGATGCTGATGTTGATGTTGATGCTGCTGATGACGACGATAATGATGTTGATGTTGTTGATGATGTTGATGCTGATGATGTTGATGATGGTGTTGACGTTGATGAGATTGTTGATGATTGTGATGGTGGTGGTGGTGGTGATGATCGTGATGATGATGACGATTGAGATGGTGATGATGCTGATGATGCTGATGATGCTGATAATGATGATGATGGTGATGACGATGATGAAGGTGGTACTGCTTATTATGATGATGGTAAAGGTGATGATGATGATTATGATGATGATGATGATGATGATGATGGGAAGGAGGAGGATGAGGCTGGTGGTGGAGGATGGTGAGGATGATGATGGTGATGATAATGATGATTATGCTGATGTTTGGGTTTGATGGTGATGGTGATGGTGATGGTGATGATGATGCTTATGGCGATGATGATGATGATGATGATGTTGATGTTGATGATTATGATGATGATGATGATGATGCTGATGATGATGATGATGATGATGATGATGATGATGGTGATGATGATGATGATGAGGGTGATGCTGACGACAACGTCGATGACGGTGATGCTGATGACAATGCTGCTGTTGCCGGTCATGGCGCTGCTCATTATGATGATGATGGTGAGGCTGGTGGTGATTATATGACGATGCTGACGATGCTGACGAGGATGTTGAGGATGATGATGATAATGACGACGATGGTGACGATGTTGGTGATGATGGTGTCGATGTTGATGATGATATTGATGATTGTGATCAGGTTAGTGATGATGATGCTGATGATGATGATGATGATGATCGTGAGCATCCTGATGCTGATGATGACGATGATGTGGATGATGATGCTGTTGTTGCTGATGATGGCGCTGCTCATGATGGTGGTGATGATGCTGCTGGTGGTGATGATGAGACGATGGTGAATATGATCTGATGGTGATGCTGATGTTAATGTTGATGGTGATGATGATGATGATGATGGTGATGATGATGCTGATGATACTGATGATGCGGATGATGAGGCTGATGATGGCGCTGCTGATCATGAGGCGATGATGGTGCTGCCGGTAATGGTGGTAGTGATGAGTGTCATCATGATCACGATCATAGTGATGATGTTGATGATGATGATGATGAGGATGAGGATGATGATGATGCTGCTGATGATGACGATTGTGGTCATGGTAGTGATAGTGATAATCGGGATGGTGAGGATGACGACAAGGATGCGGACGAGGACGAAGAGTGTGATGTTGCTGCTGATGTTGCTGATGATGATGACGATGATGATGATGCTGATGCTGGTGTTGATGCTGCTGATGATGGTGATGCTTATGATGTTGATGTTGATGGTGATGTTGATGCTGATGGTGTTGATGATGCTGATGATGCTGACGATGCTGATACTGCTGATTATGATGATGCTGATGATGATGATGCTGATTATGATGATGGTGAGGAGGAGGAGGAGGAGGCTGCTGCCGCTGATGTTGATGAGGATGATGAGGGGGAGCCGGTGGCAGCTGAGGAGGAGGAGGAGGAGGATTTGTTTTCGTCTAATGCTCGGATCTTGTGATTTGGAGCATGCGTTAGGGCTGGGAGGAGAAGAGGGAGGAACGATGAGATGGACGAGGAGGAGGGAGACTGAGGGGGAGGAGGAGGATGAGGAGGAAAACATGAAAGGGAGGAAGATGATGAGGAGGATGAGGTGGAGGAGGACGGGGCTGGACTGGAACTCTTTGAATCCAAATGGTCGCACCACCAACGGAGGCCTTACTTCGCCAGCATCGCTGCCGAGCAGTACTGCATGCCACTGTCTGGCACAATGCCCAGCACCGCCCTCTGCAGAGCAGCGCTTGCCCTGGCCGCACCTCAGCCCGCGGACAGGCAGCCCTACTGGGCGGGCTCCCAGGCACGATGCAAGTCCTCCCCCCTCCCCCACCGCCCCTCGTCCCCCTCCGCTTGCAGCTGCTGGCAATGAAGAGAGGCTCAGCACAAAGAGTGAGTGGGAAGCCGTTGTGAAGGAGTACTGCCATAACGGCGGTTAACTTTTCTTCCCGTACTAATGTGCCGTTTTGTGCACGCCGTCTTTTGCTTGCTTGCTCGAGTGGAGGATCAATTTTCGGGGACCTCGGCAGACGGTGGATCTGGGCAACATCTATCCACATCCACCGCCCGCTGGGCCACCACGGCGTCTGTTCCCAGGCGGTGGACATGGATACATCCTCGCTTCGCGCCCCCGACCCCGACCACTGGACGACGCCCGTCCCCTGTCCCCCTCTACCAACGCCGCGCGATTGAGGCGGAACGGACCATCTACGACTGGTAATGCAGGCAGCTCGGCCTGAAGATGATTGTGCACTGCCCTCGCATTCACACTTGCTGAACGAGGTCTCAAGGTTTCCAAAGGTGCGCTCCGAGAAGCAGTGCCTCTGGACACGAGCTGCTGATCCCTGAGGCTAGACTGACTGAGGAGGGCTTGCGAAGAATGATCCCAGGAATGGGAGGAAGAGAGGATGATGGATGATGGGGTAACGGCACGAAGGAGGGAAAGGGGAGCAGTAGAGGAGAGAGGCGGGAGGAGGGAGAAGGATGGGAGGCGAGGATGGAGATTGGGATGGGAGACTTGGGGAGGGGGGGAGCGAGGAAGCGGGGAGGGCGGACTGGGCAGGCGAACGAGCATGGGCAGGGAATGGATCTTTGGGGGAGGGAGGAGGCGGAGGAGGACGCCACGAGGAGGAGAAGGAAGCTCTCGGCTGGCCTCGGAGGGGTTTAGGTTGCGCGACAGGGTAGAGCGAAAGAGGAGGCAAATCAGGAGGGGGGGAGGAGGAGAAGGAGGAGGAGGAGGACGGACGGACGGACCCCTCTGGAGCTGGTGTCTGTGTCTGAAGACTGGTGAAGTGCTCTAGGACCGAGCTATACTCGAAGATTGAGGGCCATTGCCCCCTGCGCGGTCTACGTAGCTTCGCTTCGAAACTACCAGCCTCCCCGGCATAAGCGGGCAGCACTACGGGCGAGAGAGGGGGGGAAGCCAGCAGAGGCAAAAGCAGAGGAGGGAGGAGAGGTTAGAGGAATGCCCTGGCCCGCTCCCCCACGGTCTCCATCTCCCTCACGATGTGGCGGTGGCGGACGCGGGGGTGGGGGAACGCATGCTGTGGCGTTGCAATCCCCCCTCGTATTTAATCGCTTCGCTCATTCCGCCGGCCCATACAGTCTCATGTCTGCCGTTTGCCCGAGGGCCTGGTGTCAATGCGGCGCTTTGGGGGTTCCTGGGGCCGCTTGGGGGACTCCTGGGGCGCTCGGGGGGGCATTTGGGGGGCCTCCTGGGGCCGCTTGGGGGACTCTTGGGGGCCTCCTGAGGGCCCCGTGGGGGCCTCTTGGGGCCTCTTAGGGGCCTCGTAGGGGCTTCTTAGGGCCGAGGGCTCGAAATGTTGTTTCGTGTTCCCTCTCTGGGGCCCCTTTGGGGGCGTTCTTGGGGCCCTCTTGGACCGTTTTGGAGGCTTCTTGGGCCGTCTTCGAGCCCTCTTGGGCCATCTTGGGGCCCTCTTGGGTGCCTCTTGGGCCCTCTTGGGGCGATCTTGGGGGCCTCTTGGGCCGTCTTGGGGCGTCGGGAAGCCGAAAAGGTGGAAGCTCCAAAATCTCTCAAAAACCTATGGAAAAACAATGATTTTTGCCTCCGGGGGCCCTATTGGGAGTGCTCTTGGAGGCCTCTTGGGGCGTCTGGGGGCTATCTTGGGCGTCTTGGAGCGATCTTGTGGCATGTCGGACCCCTCGTGTACCATCTTGGGGGCCTCTTGGGGGCCTCTTGGCCTTTCTTGGGGCTCTCGGGGACGTCTCGGAGCCCTGTTGGTGCGCTCATGGAGCGCTCGGGGGGACCCGGCCGGGACCCGGCCGGGACCCGGCCGGGACCCGGCCGGGACCCGGCCGGGGACCGGCCGGGACCTGGTCGGGGTACTTTTCGTCCGGGGACCCCCAGGGGCCGCCCCGCGCGCGCGAACTAGAAAATTGTTAACCAGTTACCGGAGATCTTAGCACGCCTCTGGCCCGTTGGGCCGGCCCCCTCGTATTATGACTACCCTGTTTAAGCGACTGCGCACTTAAGCTACGGTCGGGATTAATAGGCGATTTCTGTCGTAACGCCTGCCGCTCGCCACCTCTGTGGGAAAAAGGGCAGGAATTGTCGCAACGCCGATTCCCTTCCTCACTCCCCGGGCCGATGCCTACTTCATGCTGTGGGTGTTCAGGCCGGTGTGCAGGATGCTCTCGAGATGGCTCATTGGCGCCACGCCGTGTTTGCGAACGGCTCCGAGCTGTTCGAGGCAGTTGGCGCTCGCGGTTGTCTGCGCGTTCACGTTGAGCTGTATCTTCACGTCTGTCTCCTTGTAGGCGCTGCTGACCTTCACCATCATGAAGATATCCGACGCCGCGTCCATGGGCAAGGAGTCCACGTGCTGCCTCATCTCGGTCAAGGCCTTGCTGTTGGCACGTCCCACCGCCTCCCCCTCCTTGACCAGGCCGTCCACGAGTCCCACCACGCATGCCAATGAGTACAAGCCGTGCTTGGCGATCTCGGCCTCGGGCTTCGCCTCGGCGCGAGCCTTCTGGACCACCTCGACCCAGCCCTTGACCCGCTGACGGGCGAGCAGCACCGGCTGGAGACCAACTGGCGCGATGAGGGTAATCAGCGTCACGTGAGTCACGGCTTCCTGCTGCCGGGTGCGGACGCCCAAGTTCAGCAGCAGCTTCAGCACGACCGGGAAGAGCCTCGCTATCTCGGAGGCGTCCATCTCCTCGAGTCCCTCCATCACCTCGTCGTCCACCAGTGGCTTGCTGTCGGTGCGCTTTTCGCCCTGCACGCGGCCCTTCTTCTTGCCCTTCCCCTTGCCCGCGTCGGCCGACTCGTTGCCTCTTGCCTGCTTCTGCAGGCGGCCTGCCTCTAGCTCCATCCGGGCGGGGAGGGCCGAGAACATGCCACCGGAACTCCGGAAGAGGCTGCGGCAAGTGTTGGACGAGATGGTCCTGCAGGGCTTGGAAATCCTGAAAGGGCTGCAAACAGATCGAACAGGTGTCGTTGGGGGGGTCTACTACTGGGTAATTTCTTGCCGAACCGTCTACAATGAACCTTCCATGCCTGTAGGCGTTAGTTCAATGACGGACCGCCGTAGTCCTGTTCTTGAACGTGCTCTTGCATGCCACGCATTGGTTCGTCAACGTCACTGCACGAATCGTCCCCCTCCCGCCGTGTTGTCCGCCCGTCGATTGTTGTTGGTGTACCACCAAGGCCTGGTTAGTTCTGAATCGTCGCATGCACGCATGCCCGTCGGCAGTCAGCAAGTCGCACACGTGCTCGCCGTGCTCCCATTTTCCGCTCTCTGCCGTGGGGTCGGGGGGAGGTAATGGGGTGAGCAGCCATTCTGCGCGGATTGCTGCAAAATCCATTAAACGAAAAATGCGGCGCGCCTCCCTGTCTCTGAAAATATTCAGCGGATCATCCCCGATTGCCTCCCAAAGGTCCCTTCCGACTTCCAAGCTTCGAAGAGATTCTAGATCCCCGCGGAATTGTACAGCCAATGGATTGCTTGTCGCTGTAGTGGGAGGGGCGCCGGAGTCGGGAGGCAGCCAAGAGGAAAGTTGAGGGCGTCGAAGTTCATTCCGGAAGACACTGAACACAGACGCAAGTATTTGACAGTGCCACTCGGGCCGTGCAAAAATCTGTTGCCATTCTTTTAGCCTCTGAACTCGAAGTTCGATAGCAATGGGAACGAGCCTCAGACGTTTCCAGACTTCCAGATTCGAGGGGGAACGAATCACCGTGATCTCCCTCCCTTCCTCGTCCACCCGGATCTGCTTCTCTGCTACTCCCCCGAGAAGGGTTCGTCCGTATCTCACGAACGTCGAATCGATTCTGTCGATCTTCCCTCTCTCGCTCTGTCTCTCTCTCTCTCTCTCTCTCTCTCTCTCTCAATCACTCTCTCTCTCTCTCGTGCTCTCCTGCAGTCCCACGAACCCCCCGACCTCCTCCCTGCCCGCTCCCTCCCGCTCCCCCCAGAGCTGCTCCTGCGGCCACGGCCCCCGCTCCCCGGCGTGCTGCCCATGCTTCGCGCGTCGTTCGCCCCCCCACCCCCCCCACCCCTCTCTCGCCCCCCTTCCCCCCCCCTCCCTCTCCATCTCCTCCCTGCGTCCTGCACTCCTCCCCTCGCTCCCTCCCCCCCCCCCCCTCCCTCCCTCTCCACCCCCTCCTCCCCCTCCTCCACCGCGTGACTCCGCCCTCCGCCTTCCTTACCTCCTCCCCCCCCCCCCTCCCTGCCCTCTCCCCACGCCGCCCTCCGCTCTCCCCTCCTTCCTCGCTTCTGCGCTCCCCACAGCTCCTGTGGCCTCGGGCCCCTGCTCTCTCTCTCTCTCTCTCTCTCTCTCTCTCCGCCGCGCCCGGCCGCCACTTGCTGCGGTGCTGCCTGCTGCCTGCTGCTGCCGGCGCTGCCTGCGCTGTCCGCGCGTCGGCCTCGGCACGCGCTGCGCGCCCCACGCGGAGCTCCGACCGCGGCCCCAGCGCGCACGGGCGTGCTGCGCCCCCCCCATCGCCCAGTGTGGCACGTCTCTGCGAGCACGTGTCGGCGGCGAGCGAGGGGGGGAAAGTGGGAAGGAGAAGGGCCTCTCAGACGGCGGCGGGGCTTCTCAGAAGCTCTCGCGCCTTCTGAGAGGCTGCTTCTGTCTTCGGGGGAGGCTTAGAAAACTTCTCAGAAGGCCGGGGGACTTCCGAGCCTTCTGAGAAGGCCTGCCTCTTCTCACTTCCCCCCGCGCGCTCGCCGCCAACTTTGCGAACTCGATCCCTGCGGGTCCAAGCAGATCTGGGATATCGGATATTCCTGCTGGGGTTCTTTTGGTTGCAGACATCCATTCGAATTCTGAACCACGGCCAGCGTTTCCGAGCTCCGACCTGCAGGGGTAGGTGTTCTCATGCGGTTGCATAGCATCCCTAACGCCAATCGCGCCCCATATGGTGGCCCCAACTACGGCCCCAGTGGGCTGGTGCGCATGCGGTCCCATCGCTTGATTCGACACGCCCACCGCTTGAGGAATCTCGCTTGCGGCCCTTTGAGGGAACGCTCCCATGCGGTCTGCTCGCCCAATTCGGCACACTCCTCACACGTTCAGTGCGCCATCTAGGGGCGCCACCTGCTGCCCCAGAGGACACGCTCGCATGCGGCTCCCTCGTACAATCAGGAGGGAAAACACACACACACACACCATCGTCGAGACCCCTAGGCAAATATGGGAAAACCTGGGAAGTGGGGGGAAGACAAACACCCAGAACCTTTTGGAAAACAAGGGGTCTCCTGGGATTTGTGTATATTTGTGTGTGTGCCCTTGGGCCCATTTATACAAGTCGACACCCTTGTATGTGCCGTGCTTCATCTGGGGGCGCGAAAAACGGGCTCGGTGGGCGCGTTCAGACACGGCCCCCTCGCCCAGCGCGGCACACGATTCGCACGTGTATTGCTCTATACGGGGCTCCAGCTGTTGCCCCAGTGGTCTGGTGTGTGTATATGTGTGTATGTAAATATATATATAGATATATACATATATGTGTGTGTGTGGTGTCCCCTCGCCCGATCCAGCAAGGCTCTCGCATGTTTCGTGCCACCTGCCGTATCCAGATGTCGGTGCTGAAAAGCAGTCGTTTTTGTTCGCGCTTCTTTGTCCTCGTTGCACTTGTTTTTCCTGTCCTCTCCTCTCCTCGTCAGCATACCCAATTTACGCTCCATCGCCTCCCGTGGCGTGATACAGTACATCTGTGGCTTCAGGCTTCAGACGCTCTAGTGAGGTGTTGTGGTGTTCGCGCGTCACCAGCGCGAGGAGGAGGAGGGGGAGGAGGAGCAGGAGGAGGAGGATGGGCAGATGGGGAGGGGCAGGGGGAGGATTCTTGATTGCACCATCGCAGTGCCAGGCAGCAGTAGTGAAAGCAAGTGGCCCGAGGAAGCTGCCCGTCTCGGTGGAGGAGCTCGGGGTGGACCTCTTGACGGTGGCAGGGCACAAGCTGTACGCGCCAAAGGGCATCGGGGCTCTGTACAGGCCTCCACTCCTGCCTCCGCCGCCTCCTCCCTCCCTCCCCTGCCTCCTTACGAGGGCCGCACCTCGGTGCCTGTAGGGCGGTCTGTGCGTCCGTCGGTCCGTCCGCCCGTCGGGTCTCGCTGTCCGTCCGTCTGTCCTCCTCTCGTCGGCCGCCGTCCCCTCCCCCCCGTTGGGTGCCGGCCTTCGGCAATTCACGGGGGGCCAGCTCGCCAGCCCCATGGCCAGAGATGGCCTTTGGCAGCAGCGGCCAGCACCTCCCCGCGCGGTGCGGCCCAGGGCGCCTCGGGAGAGGAGGGCCGACACGCACGGCTGAGCCCGGGGAGGTCCTCCTCGTCCTCCTCCTCCTCCTCCTCCACATCCTCCTCCTCCTCCTCCTCCTCCTCCTCCTCCTCCTCCTCCTCCTGGGCGGGAGTTCACTTAGCACGCCCTCAACGCCGTGGGGCACGGTGAGCCACCGTGCCCAGGTCGCGGACACGTGGCACCTCTTGGGGTATGCACGGCGGGGCCTCGCTGGGGTCTCTTGGAGGCCTCTTGGGGACTTCCCGGGGGCCTCTTGCTGGTGGTCTCGCTCGGGGGCCCTCCCGGGGTGCCGCGCTGCCAGTGGTGGTTCGGGTTTCCCCTCCTGGGCCCCTCTGGGGGGCCTGCTCTCAGACAGGGTAGGGTGGTACTGTCAATCTGTTGGGGTGCCGTGGCTGGGTATGGTTGACGCCACCGACTGCACCGATGCTAGTCAGGATGGCAGCAAGGATGGCGATGGCGATGGTGTTACAGATGAAGGTCATGGCGGCAGGGATGGCGGCCGTGGCGCAGATGGCGCGGGTCCGCCTGTGGAAGGTCCGGAGAGAGCTGACGAGAGTATAAAGGCGGACCGCCCGAGGTGGAGTAATCCCAGTGTGCGCGGCGAAGAAGAACCAACCTCAAAAGCATAAACCTTTGGCGCTCCGCACAGTTTTCTGGGATTTCTTGGCCCAGCGCAGATCCAAGAAACCAGCCCAGAGCGCCGACAGTTTCTGTTCATGCAGTTGTTCTTACTCTAATAACCGCGGTTTCTGGTGGTTTACTCAAGATTTTATCTGGCTCCCGATCATTCGTGCACCACGTTTCTACATGGACCCAGAGCGATCCAACAGTTTTTCGCTTGAGGCTTCCTTACCAAGCCGCAGGTCGCTGCCCAGGCTTCGTATGTGTTTTCCAGGTATCCGCTGGTTTCAATGCATTTTGAGCCTGCATGCCAACGGCTGTTCGCCCTCAAACGGGGCCGATTTCCCAGCGGAGAGCCAACGCACATTGACAGTGGACGCATCCCATGCCTGGTGCTTGTTGTTTGCCTATTGTAGTTGCCTCTGGCCAGTGCCGCCGATCCGGGGTGCTACCGATTCTGCTTGCAACGGAGGACCGTTTATGTTTAAAAGAAGAGCACTCGCTCGAGACATCCTCATAGGATAGAGATGCTGAACTCGCTTGGGAAACCGTCGGATATTCGGAAGTGACGATCTCGCGTGAGCAGCCAAACTCATGGGATGTCCCCTCCCGCCTTCGGGCCTGAATGGCGTCAGCCATGGCGTCAGCCCCCGCCCCCCCCGACTTCTCCCTCCCGGGCCTGAATGACGTCAGCCATGACGTCAGGGCTTCGAGCCTGCATGCCAACGGCTGTTCGCCCTCCGACGGGGCCGATTTCCCAGCGGAGAGCCAACGCACATTGAAAGTGGACGCATCTCATGTCTGGTGCTTTTTGTTTACCTATTTTTGGGGTTTCCAGGTCATCTCGGGACCCTGTTTGGCTGTCTGGCGACTCTGTTTGGGGCCGTTTTGGGCACATTTTGCGAAAGCCTTACGGCCGGTGCCGCCTACCCTGAAGACGACGAAGATGAAAGGGAAGGGGGGGTGCAGGAGGAGGAGGAGGAGGAGGAGTAGCAGGAGGAGGAGGGAGGGGTGCAGGAGGTGGATGAGGGAGGAGGGGGGGGGAGGACGAGGAGGAGGAAGAGGAGGAGGAGGAGGAAGCGGAAGAGTAGGAGAAGGAGGGGAGGAGCCTCTTGGAGCCTTGGTGGGTGTGTTCTTTGAGAGCTCCTGGGATGTCTAGGAGGCTTCCTGGATCGTCTTGGGGCCATTCTGGCCGTGCCGGGCCGCACTTCGAACGACACGGGGCTCCTGTGGGCAATCCTGGGGGCCATCTTCGGCATTCTGGGTCCTTTTTGGGGCTGTTCGATATGTCGGGGCCGCCCGGGGGGAAACGAATCTGGGTGGCGACCTCCCCCCCCCTGGGACCCCCCCCCCCGGGACCACCTCCTGGGACCCCCCACCCCCCCGCGAGAAAGGGATCAAGGGGAGAGGGCTTCCCTTCGGCTCCAACACGATGCTGTGCAATCTCGCTTCGGGTGGCACGCGTGAGGAGGCGGGGGACGACGGATACGGCGAGGAGACGACGGAGACGACGACGAAGACCACGAGGAGACGACGGAGACGATAACTCGAACGGAGAAGCCCTTCGCACATGCCGACAGGGTCGGCGGATTTGGAGCTTCTTGGGCCGTCTAGTGACGTCGGGACCCCAAATTCACACAACCGATGAGAATTCTGCAGCTGCTGAAGGAAGCGCAATTATCCAAGATGCTTACGGCAAACCATCGCCGCCGCCCCATGTTTTAACACACAGATGTGGCCAAACGGTGGGCCGAAGTACTGCCAAGCTAATTTAATGGCACGTTCCCCCAAGCCGTTGCATTGGGACGCGCGGGAGGAAGAGAGGGGAGGGGGATGAGAGGGAGGAAAGGAGGGGAAGAAGGTGGACACGGATGCTCCTGGGGGCCTTTTGCGGGTTTCTTTGGGTGATTCCGTTGGCATTTTTGGGTTTATTGGGGGCTTCTTGCTTGGGGGGTTTTTGCGGGCGTCTGAGGGGCCTCTGGGGGCCTGTCGGGGGCCTCTTGGCATTCGGAGGCCGTCCCGAGGTCCCTTCTGGGCCGCGGTGTGGCCTTCTTTGTGCGCTTTAGGGCAGTTGTGGAGGTCTGTGAGGCTGTCTTGGGGCTCGCTTGAGGCTGCCTTGGGGGCCCTTTGGGCTGTCTTGGGGCCCTCTTTTTCAGCCTGGGGTGTCTCTTGGGCTGTCTCGCTGTTATTTTGTAGTTTTTGGAGTCGTTTTCGGATGGCGGAAGCTCGGAATGGCGAGAACGCGAAACCTATCAACCATATTGAAAATCAATGACGTTGGCTTCCTGGAGGTCCTCTTGGAGCCCTCTTGGGGCGCCTCGGGGAGCCCTTGGGCAGTCTGGAGGGCAGACTGGGCAGACGTGGAGGCTATCTTGGCCCTCCTCGGGGAATCGTTGCTGCCTTTGGGGCGTCTTGGGACCATCTTGGAGACCGCGGTGGGCATCTTGGAGGCACCCCGAGATACTCCTGATCGAAGACCACCTTGCCTCCCACCTCGCCCATGCGGCTGGCGGGATCGGCCAAATGCCACTGGGAACCCTCAGCAACACGCTTGACGAGAAACTTATCTTGGCGGCGGGCCTGACCATCTGCAGACGTGGGTACTGCAAGGCAGATGGGATGAAGGAAGAGGAAGTCCATATGGAGCAAACAAGCGCGATGGACGCGCCAGAACGGGAGGCAACATGCGGGCGTTGGCATTGGCACCGCTGATGGAGCTTCTCATGACCTGTGGGGCCACGAGATGAGTAAGGGCTGTGCCGAAACGAGGCCTCGACGCCATGCGGGCCCTGGCGTTTGACCCTTCGCAGGAGCCCCCTTTTCATGGAGCCACGGCGCGTGTGAGGGATGTGCCAACACGAGGCCCCGACGCCATGCGGACGCTGGCATGTGTGCCTTTCTGTTGGAGCTCTTTATGAGGCAGCGAAGCCTGGGAGGGGTGTGCCGACACTGGGCACCGACGCCATTCGGACCCTGGTAGTTTGGGCCTTCGCTGAAGCTCCGATTGGGGCCATGAAGCGTGCGAGAGGTGTGCCGAAGTGAGCGGCCGACGCCATGGGGACGCTGGCATGTGCGCCTTTTGTTGGAGCCCCCTTATGAGGCAACGAAGCGTGAGCGGGTTGTGCCGACATGGAGCACCGACGCCCTTCGGACCTTGGTCGTTTGTGCCTTCGCTGAAGCTCCGTTTGGGGCCACGAAGTGTGTGAGAGGTGTGCCGAAATGAAATGAGGCACCGACGTCGTGTGGACCCGGGCAGTTGGCCCTTCGCTGGAGCCCCCCATGTGGCCACGAAACGCGTGCCGTGTGTGTGTGTGCCGAAATGAGGCACCGACGTGGAATTTGGGGCCTCAGCTGGAGTTCCCTAAGGTCGTGCGGCGGGCAGAGGGGAGAGGAGGAGGAGGAGGAGGAGGAGGAGGAGGAGGAGGAGGAGGCGGAGGAGGAGGAGGAGGAGGAGGAGGAGGAGGAGGAGGAGGAGGAGGACAGGAGGAGAGCAGGAGCAGAAATGAGGAGCAGGCCCGTGCCACGGGCTTCTGGAAGGCACGTTTGGGGCCAGTTAGATTTTTTTTTTGTTTGGGGGCCTTTGGGGGGGCCTCTTTGGTGACCTCTTCGGGTACCTTTGGCCTCTTGGTGGGTCCCTGGCGGTCTCGGAGGCAAGCCTGTCGTGGAGGTGCTGACGCGTCCTTTGCCCCCCCCTCTTGGGCCTCTTTGGGGGCCATTCTAGACTCCTCGTTGGCCCCTGCTTAGGTGGCTTGGAAGCCGCCTCTGGGCGATTCGAGGGGCCTCCAGGTCCTGGGCCGCCCTGGGCGGCCTCGGGACCGAAAAGGCGAGGGCGCCCAGACCGCAGCAGTGCCCCAGGCGGCTCTCCCAAGGCGGCCCGAGGGGTGCCCCGAGCAGACTCCCGGGAGGGCCGAGGCCCTCCCAGGCCCAGGCTGGACGCGCGGAGCCCGGGCCCCCGCCCCCGAGGCCTGCGGAGGGAGCCGCTCGGGCCCCCCCGGGAGCCCGCAAGGCCCCCCCCCCCTGGAGGCGCTCGCAGGCCTGGGCCTCGGCCCCCCCCAAGGGGGCACCTGCACGGCCCGGCACAGGGAGAGAAGTCCGAAGGGGCGCGAGAGCCCCCTCGGGAGCACGCGAGGGCCCCCTCGGAGGCGCTCGGAGGCCTGGGCCTCGGGCCCCCCCCAGGGGGGGGGGGCGCCTGCGCGGCCCGGCACAGGGAGAGAGGAGCCCGCAGGGGCGCGAGGGCACTCCGCTCGCCGCCCACGGCACGGCGGCGGACTGAGGCCTCTCGGGGCAATCGGGCCTCCTCCTCCGCCTCCCCCTCCGCCTCCACCTACGCCTCCTCCTCCTCCTCCTCCTCCTCCTCCTCCTGCTCCCCTTCCTCCTCCAACTCCTCCTCCTACTCTACCTACTCCTCCGTGTCCTCCTCCTCCTCCTCCTCCTGATCCTCCTCCTCCTCCTCCTCCTCCTCTCTTCCTCCTCTCTTCCTCCTCCTCCTTCTCTCTTCCTCCTCCCCCTTTTCCTGAGCCTCCTCCGTCTCGCCGGCGTCGGGGGCTGCCTCGTGACGCGCTCCTGGGCCTGTTCGGGCCCACCCTGGCCGTCGTGGCGCCCTGTGGCCTCCCTGGCGTCGTCGCGCGAGGAGCCCTGGGGAACGCGCGGCCGCCCTCGAGAGTGCCCGGGAAGCTGTAAGTCCGAGGCTTTCGGGAGCCTCGAGACGGGGGTCAGTGCAAACGAGGGTCAGCCACGGCACCGGATCCTGCAGGATCCTGCGAAGACCCCCTCTGGCTGACCCGGGTTAGCGAGCCGCTCGTGGCCGCGAGGCGGCCGCGCGTATTGGTTGACCCGGGTTTGCGAAGACTTGCGTTGCAGTTTTATGTTTTGCAATGCAGTTTTTGGTTTCCTGCTGACCCGGGTCTGGATTGACCCGGGTCAGAAGATCCCCGAGGCTTGGGGCCCACGAGTCGCACTCACAATCCGCATCCGAGGTCCGTGGTGTAACGGTATGGGTTCCTCTTTGTTCTCCCATGTGCAATCTACGTACAGCACCCCGCAGGGGCGGATGGGAGTGGGGGGGGCGGCGGGGACGTTTGCGGTTTGCGAGGCTCTGAAGGAGCTCGCCGAGGGTACCCATGCTTTACAAATGCTGCAACGAGCTCGACGCAGGCGCCGATTTTCTCGTTTAAGCAATGTGGGTGGGTCGAGGGTGGGTCACGGGCCAGGTCGCGGGTGGGTCGCGGGTGGGTCGCGGGCAGGTCGCGGGGTGGGTCGCGGGTGGGTCGCGGGGGTTACGATGTTTACAAACATCGAGCAACACATAACAACAGCAACAACAACAGCAATCCGCACCGCATAACCTCATTTCGGCAACGCGCCCTGGGACAGTAAATGTCCGTTCGGCCCCCCTCACTCAGACGAATTTCTGTGATGATGCTGATGATTTGCGTACTGAATGTTGTCTTGCTCAGCATGGCCACAGCGTAGTACCGCTTCCAAATGTACAGGCATTGTGAGAGGTAGGTGTTCGCACGATGTTGAGTACAGACTATCAGACACGGGATGGTACTACAGGTGTGAGGACCCGTAACGGATAGCGCGAAGCCCCGCGTGGATTCAAGGAATGATTGGCAAGGGTTTCTCTACCATTTCGGCCAGGATCAGCAGAGCTCTTTTTGCCTCTGGTGTTCCCCTCTGTGCATCATCGTGCCTCTCCCCTCTTACCACCAGATGGCGCATCGAGAAAGATCCGGGGGAGAGAGGGGCAGCCCGAGGTGGGGATTTATCCACAGCCACCGCCTGCGAGGTCGACCTTTGGGGACCTTGGCAGGCGGTGGATATGGACATATTCGGCCCCCGCTGGGCCAACATATGGGGCGTTCCAAAAAAGGGCCCTGCCTTCGAGGATCGAAGGAGTTGTCATCTCTTCCGCAGCGAAAGCGGGGGAAACGCGGCGGAAGGTCGGCGGAAGTAAAACGAGGCCGCATCAGCCGGCGGAAGCTCGGCGGAAGGCTGCGGAAGCAAGAGATGTGCCCTCAAGAGATGAAAGAGGTTGTTGGGTTCAGGGTTCCGAAGTCGCCCGTATATCCATATCCTTCGCCTGGTGGGGACCCAGGACGTGGGCGTTGGATATGAATACGTTCCCACCTCGCAGTGGGGGGGAGGGAGACGGGCGACGGGGAGTGGCAAAAACGGGCGATGGAGAGACAGGGGAGGGGCAGAGCGAGGGAAGAGGGGGCGCGTCAAGAGGGGGGGGAGGGAGGAGGAGAGAAGGAGGGCGAGGAGGAGGCAAGAGGAGGAGGACGAGGAGGCGGAGGGACGCGGAGGAGAAGGAGAAGGAGGAGGTGGGAGGAGGAGACGGGAGGAGGAGGAGGAGGAGGAGGGAGGAGGAGGGAGGAGGAGGAGGAGGAGGAGGGAGGAGAGGGAGGAGGAGGAGGTGGAGGGTGGAGGAGGAGGAGGAGGAGGAGGAGGAGGAGGAGGAGGAGGACACGGAGGAGGAGGAGGAGGAGAGGAGGAGGAGGAGGGAGGAGCAGGAGGAGGAGGACACGGAGGAGTAGGTGGAGTAGGAGGAGGAGTTTGAGGAGGAAGAGGAGGAGGAGACGAGGAGGAGGAGGGAGGAGGGGGGGGGAGGAGGAGGAGGAGGAGGAGGAGGAGGAGGAGGAGGAGGAGGAGGAGGAGGAGGAGGAGGAGGAGGAGGAGGAGGAGGAGGAGGAGGAGGAGGAGGAGGAGGAGGAGGAGGAGGAGGAGGAGGAGGAGGGGAGGAGGAGGAGGGGGGAGGAGGAGGAGGAGGAGGAGGAGGAGGAGGGGAGGAGGAGGAGAGGAGGAGGAGGAGGAGGAGGGAGGGAAGGGTGGGCGCGTCGCGAGGGGGGAGGGTCGCATGGGGGCTGATGCACAGGCGGTCCACAGTCCCGGACCTGCCCCTGCTGCTCCACGGAGCCGCCCAGGAGGCCGGTCGGCGGGCGAGCACCGAGAACGTCGTGCACTCCGTCGCGCTCGGGAAGGCCTGCGAGGTGGCCAAGCGCGACCTGGACGTCCGAGGAGGAAGAGGCATCAGAGGAGGACGGGGAGGAGGATCGAGGATCGAGGGGGAGGAGGATCGAGGAGGAGGAGGAGGAGGGAGGAGGAGGAGGATCGAAGGGGGAGGAGGTATCAGAGGAGGAGCAGGAGAACAGAGGAGGAGGAGGAACAGATGCTACGTATCACCCTGCAGTTACGGACAAGAGTGGTGGGGCGGCGGGTAGGTCGGCAGTCTGCGAGGCTCTGAGCAAGCCCGCCGCAGGCGCCCAGTTTTTACAATTGGTGCAACGAGTCCGCCGCAGGCGCCGATTTTTTCGCTAAAGTGATGTGGGCGTGTCGCGGGGTGGGTCGCGGTCGGGTCGCGGGCCGGGTCGCGGGTGTCACGCGGGTGGGATATCACAGGAGGATAAGTACCGTCCTTCTCACCGTTTTCTTGCTTTCCTCGTTTCGGGCCGCCTGGGCGGCAGGGCCTCGTGGCCTCTGCTGGATTCCCTTCGAGATCATGGTCAGAAGGCGCCCCTGGAGAGATTCGGGGAATAGCAGTATCGGCACCACAGTCAGAGCGCATAGCAAGGATGATCATTTTTCCAAGATTGCCCTTGCGTCCTTGCCCCACTCGGCCTTTCCTCGGCAGCATTCGCTGGCCAGCCGCTCTGCATCCTCAGGTTTTCGGCAGCGATCCGTTCAAACCACGTCGACCTTGGCTTCCAAGGCCCTTGCATCCTTATCAAGCATCTTTACTATGCACCCTGATTGTAGCACCCCGCAACTCTGGATAAGAGTCTGGGGTCGGCGGGGTCGGCGGCATTATGCGAAGCTCTGAAGAAGCCCGCCATAGGCGCCGAACTTTCTTGCACATGACAACGAGCCCGCCGCAGGTGCCGAATGTTTCGTCGAAACAACTTGGGTGGGCCGCGGGGTGGGAACTTGGGTGGGCCGCGGGGTGTGTCGCAGGTTGGGTCGCGGGGTGGGTCGCGGAGTGGTCGCGGGGTGGGTCGCGGGCGGGATGTGGATGAGGACCACGACAACAAGGCAACAACATAACACAACGCAACAACACAACAACAATCCGCACCGCAGAACCCCACTTCCGAACGCAATACCGGGACAGTGAAGGACCGTTCAGCTCCCTCGTTCTGTCCGATGCCGCTGCTCGACCTGGAGAGCCCTCGCCGCCACGGCTGGATTCTCCCCGAGCGCCTCGTCAGAACGCGCCCCCGCAGAGGTCCAGGGAGCAGCGGTATATCGGGGGCGGCCAAGAGGGGGTCGGCGGACTTGGGGGCTGGGTATCATGGCGTGAGCCATGAGATCTCCCCAGATTTCATCCCTGGGCCGCGCGCGTGCCGCTGGCCATGAGATGCGCCCCCCCCTCTTGGACGCCCCCCTCTTGTTCGCCCCCGAGGTATAGGTACCCTTTTGTTGCCTTCCCAGGACAAGGTCCGCCCCCAGCTGACCAGGCTGCGAGACCGTCTCCACGAGCAGCTGCGGGAGCGCCTCGGCGAGCGTGCAGGCCTCATGCGGCTGAACGGCCCTGTCGATGCCCGCCTGCCCAACACCCTGAACGTGTCCTTCCACCAGGTGGAGGCCAACACGCTCCTCTCCGAGATCGGGGACGAAGTGGCTGCCTCTGCAGGGGCAGCCTGCCACAGTGACGACGTGCACGTGTCGCACGTGCTCGAGGCCATGGGCGTGCCTGTGGACTGGGCGATGGGCACCTGCCGCTTCTCGAAAAAAAGATAACGCTATGAACGTAAACTTTCGGAGCTCCGCTCGGATTTCTTGGATCCTCGCTGTGGCCCCCTGGCAGCGCCTCCGGCGCCGACCCTGGCGCGCTCCGCGCGCCAGGATGGGGGTCCAGCGCAGATCCAAGAAATCCGCGCGGAGCCATAAAAGTTTATGCTTGTGGCGTTTTTTCTTCTTCCAGCTTCAGCGTCGGCAAGGGCACCACCGATGCCGAGGTGGACAAAGCCGCCGAGATAATTGCTGGCGCGGCGGCCCGGCTGATGCCGGCCAGCGGCGCGTCGCCGGCGCCGTGCCTCCTCGTGAAGGGCGGCGACGACGTGAAGCTGACGCGGTACACGCACGGTATGGGCTGCGCCTGCAAGTTGCGGCCCCAGCTGCTGGAGCGCGTACTGGACCAGGTCCTTCGGTAGCAAATCATGGGAGCCTGGTATACCCTTTTACTTTCGTCGGTTGGCGTCGATCAGCGCCTGGGAGTCGATGAGATAGTGCTGATTTAGCGTCGATTTAGCGTCGATTAGCGTCGACTAGCGTCGATTTAGCGTCGATTAGCGTCGATTCGCAAGAGCCGACAAGATGGTGTGGGAGGCTCCCATGAGTTGCCACCGAAAGGTCCGCGCCGCAGCTGCGCCCCTGGTGGACCCGAACGTGCTCGCTGGCCTGGGCAAGTCCAACGAGGACGCGTGCGTATACAAGCTCCGCGACGACCTGGCGGTGGTCGGCACGCTGGACTTCTTCACCCCCATAGTGGACGAGCCCGAGGTCTTCGGCGCCGTGGCGGCAGCGAACGCGCTGAGTGACGTCTACGCGATGGGCGCTACGCCGCTGTTCGCGCTGGCCATCGTTGGCTTCCCGGACGGGCGGCTGCCGCCAGAGGTGTTGGCACGCATCCTGACGGGCGGCCAGAAGAAGTGCGAGGAGGCCAAGTGCCTGATCCTCGGCGGCCACACCGTGGAGGACATCGAGCCCAAGTACGGGCTGGCCGTTTTTGGCACCGTGCACCCCGACCAGGTGTGGCGCAACAACGGCCTCGTGGAGGGCGACACGCTGGTGCTGACGAAGCCCCTTGGGACTGGCGTGCTCAGCACCGCCATGAAGCGCGGTGCCCTCTCGCCAGAGGGCGCCGTTGCGCTGAAGGCGAACCTCACGGCGCTGAACAACACGGCAGCCGCCCTCGCGCGCGAGCACGCTACCGTGCACGCGTGCACGGACGTGACCGGCTTCGGCCTCCTGGGGCACCTGGTCGAGATGTTGACGCCGTCGGAGGGGCGCCAGGAGACTTTTTTTTTCAGGGTCTGGTGATCACCCGGGTCATCGGGCCCGCACCCCCCTCTTGTCCCCCCCTGGATAGCCTGACCATGTCGGTTTCGGAGGGTTGCCAGTAGACTGTTTTCGTGGTCCGGCAGTAACCCAGGTCATCGCCCCCCCGTTCCCCCTCTGAAGCACCTGTCCGTGTTGGTAGCGCATGTCTGAAGGGGCGTGGGCAGTGTTGATTCCGCGCGGGCATCGGTGGTGCTGCCAAGGCGAAAAGGTTCGGTTATTGGCCAGCGCCTCCCCCCCCGTCCCCCCCTGCCACATAGCTTGAGCCATTCGAAGGGGCAAGGGCATACACGTAAACGTTTGACGGTCCGAGCGGATTTCTTGGATCTTCGCTGGACCGAAGCGCGCCAAGGGGGCCTCAGCGCCGATCCAAGACATCCGTGCGGAGTTCCGAAAGCTTTTGTTCATGCCGTTTGTTCGTTCTCCAGTATCGCCGATGTATTTATGTATATCATGATGTGTATATTATATATACACAGATATACATGTTCAATATTGCATTGGTGCTTCGCGCCATGAATTCTGGTGGTCCTTGAAGACTAGCATGTAGGCGGAATCGCGGCGGAACGGCAGGAAAGTAAAGCAGAACGAATAACGATAATTGCCTTTTCTGGCATCGTCGTCATAATCATGTATTTCTTTATGCTTCCCCATGCTTTCTCTTCCCTTCCTCATTCTCGCCCTCCCCTGCGACTTATTCCCCATCCTCCTTTGCTGCATCTGCTCTTTCTGTGGAGGCTCTTCCTTGGAGAGCTTCTTGGGGGCCTCATGCAAGTTTTACAAGGCTTCTTGGGCTCTTCTGATGCCCCCTGGGCGCCTTCTGGGGGCCTCTGGGGGATTCCTCGGGCCACCCTGCTTCCAACTGCGGTCTCCCTAGACGGCCGGGTCACGATATGGAATGCTTCGGGGGGGGTCTTGGGGCCATCTTGGGCCGTCATGGGGCTCTCTTCGGGCCCTCTTGGGACCCTGTTTGACCGTTTTGGGGATCTCTTGGACTGCCTGGAAGCCCTTTCGAATAGTTTTGGCGTGATTTTCGGGCCTCTTCGGCGGTCTCGGACGCCTCAAAGCCCGAAGAACATGCAAAAACAGTGGGAAACCATTGTTGTTCTATATTTCGCAAGCCTCTTGGGTGTGTTCTCTGTGTCGTCCTCGGGCGTCTGGTGGGTGTTTGGGGCCTCTTGGGGCCAACGGGGGGTAGTTCGGCCGCCCTCCTGATCGATTTGGGCCCGCTGCCTGGGCCCAGCATGGGCTTCAGGAGTTCCCAGAAGCTTGGGGGATCTTCGAGAGGGGCGCCCAGGGAGCCGCCAGAGCCATGGATCCGGAGGGTCCCGTTTAGGGGGGGGCTTTCGCAGGGTCCCAGATCGCAGACATATAGGAAAAGGGTGTGTGTATATATGTATATATATATATATATATATATGGTCGCCCCCCCCAGCACCCTCAAACCACCAAAACCACATAATCTTCACTGATCGTTTGCTCCTCGTCGCTCTCCTCCTCCTCCTCCTCCTCCTCCTCCTCCTCCTCCTCCTCCTCCTCCCCCTCCTCCTCGAAACCTGCGAAGAGTAGCGAAAACCATCGGAAAAAAACACAACACTACATGTATGTACACACCTCAAACCGTGCTGGCACTTGGGGGCCCGTAGTTCTGTGCTGAGCAGCTTGGCCTGCGGCCCGGTCTGGCGGCTGTGTGGTCGCCGTCGCTGCCCCGTCGCCGCCCATCGTCTGGGCCTGCGCTCCTGTCTGGCGGGTGTGTTCTCGCCGTCGCCGACCCGTCGTCGCCTCGTCGTTGCCGCACAGATTGCACCTCATAGACTGCCTCACATAGATACTCCTTTCTAGAAAGACAATCGGCTACCCCCGCCCCGCGTCCTATGTAAATCACATACGATTCTGACCACATGTCCATCCTAAATATGAAATCACAATGTCCCAGGCCAACCGGGTTCCCCCGCTCTTGCGAAATCTTAAGAAAACCATAGGTTTTTCAAGATTTTCACTAAATGCTATTTAACGGGCTTCGCGCGCGCGCATGTCGAAATCTGTCGAACGCCCTTGCGCGTGTGCCGTCGCGAGAATCCTCTGCAAAAAGTGAGACGAAGTGCAGACGCGCGCGTCGTCGCGCGCGTATGCCGAAAACCTTCAAAACCCATCGGTTTCGGCAGGATTTCAGAATCGCGTGTCCAAAAAACATACAACAACACAAGGTTTCGCAACACGGATTTTCAACAAAAGCGTGCGCGCGCGCTCTTGCGTCGTCGTCGTCGTCGCCGTCCTCCCTCCTCCCGCGTCGTCGTCGTCGTCGTCGTCGTCGCCTACGTCGTCCTCTGTCTTTCCTCGCGTTCGTCGTCGTCGTCCTCTTTGGCGTCGTGGTCGTTTCCGTCGTCGTTGTCGCCGTGGTCGTCCTTCCTCCTCCTCCCTCGTCGTCGTCCGTCGTCGGCGTCTCGTCGTCGTCCCTCCTATTTCGTCGCCGTCGTCGTCGTTGTCGTCGTTGTCGTCGTCTTCTTCCCTCCTCCCTCGTCGTTGTCGTCGTCGGCGTCGCCGTCCTTCCTCCTTCTTCGTCGTTCGCGTCGTCGCCGTCCCCCCTCCTCCCTCGTCGTTGTCGTCGCTGTCGTCGTTGTCGCCGTCGTCGTCCTTCCTCCTCCCTCGTCGTCGTCTTCGTCGGCGTCGTCGTCGTCGTCTTCGCCGTCGTCGGCGTCGGCGTCGTTGTCGTCGTCGAAGTCGTCGGAGACGTCGTCGGTGTCGCCGTAGTCGTTGTCGTCGGTGTCGTCGTAGTCGGTCTTAAGAGGTTTTGCAAATCAAGCTGCGGGTGGGTGGGTGGGATTCTAGGGCCGTCGTGGGGCGATCTTGGGAGCCTGTCGGTCCGTCTCGGAGCGTCGGAAAGCCGAAAAGGCGAGAAGGCCAAGAACCTGCCAAAACGTTATGACAATTATTGATGTTTGCTTCGTGGGTCCCTCTTGGGAGGCCTCTTGAAGGCCTCTTGGGCAGTCTTGGGAGCATCTTGGGCCGTCTTGGAACCATCGTGGGACATCTTGGGGCCATCTTGGACCGTCTTGGCTTCCTGAGGCTTTCTTCGGAGCCTCGTCGTGCAATCTTGGAGGCCTCTCGCGCCGTTCTGGCCGCGCGGTGGCGTCACCATGAGAACCCTGGGGTGGCCCGGAGCAGCTTGGATTTGAGATTCATACCCCCTCCTTGGCTGTTTGGTGACGCGGCGGGGCCCCTTAGCAGGCAATAGGAAACAGGACTGGAGAGACAAAAGGCCAAACAACGAATGACAACACATAACTCATGACAGCAGACCACACACACCTTCGCAGCCTTGCGCCCCTGGAGGGGGCCGGGTGATATACATATATATATATATATATCTTCATAAACATCATCATAGGCATATACATAAACATGCACATATACATAGACATGTATCTAGACATATGTATGTTTACATATGTACATTGGCACGTGCAAACACATATATGCACATACACACATATAGATGTATGTATACATATGCATATTTGTATATACACATATACATGTACACACATGCATATACATATACATCTATATATATATACACATTCACATACGTTTACATATACACATACGTATGCACACACATCCACGCATCCATATACATATACAGATGCATATATACGTAAACGTATACGTACACATCTACATCGACACATACAAGCACATATACATACACATATACATATTCATACGCATATACATGTATATATACATATACATGCACATGTACGTATGTACATATTTACACATACCTATATATATATGTATGTGCGTACACATACACCTACACATACATATCCCGATGCATACACACATACATATATATATATATATATATATATTCGTGTGGGAATCAAGAAGTACTGGTACCCCCACTCCCCAGACCTCTCCCAGGGGGCGTTCTGACCAGACTTTCGAGACGAAACCAGCGGTGGCCGCGAGGTCTTCCCAGGAGGGCGAACAAGAGGAACAGTGGGAAAAGGTTGGCGGTTTGGGTTCAAACGCCAAAACGAGGACAGCGAGTGAATCTTGACACACAGAAGCGCTATCTCCAGGCTCTCGGCGAGAACGACCAGAAGGCCACGGAGGAGGGCGCGCCGCCTCACAAGCGCCCGCGTCCTGCGACGTTGTGCGCGGTGCTGAGGGCGGCCGCCGCGCCGCTGCTGCCCGAGGCCAGAGAGCTGGCCGTCGACGACCAGTGCGTGCCAGGCGCCTGCGACCGATTGCAGCGCCGATGCGTCGACGACGCTCCGAGGAGTACCGAGGTGCCCATACCGCTGCCCTGGCCCCGCTTTCTCGTGTTTCGGCTTCTTGGGAGGACCTCGTCGCCATCGCTGGATTCGCCTCGAAATTCTAGTCAGAACGCACCCCAGGAGAGGTCTGGGGGTAGCCGTATCGGTACCTTGTGGTCTCCCCAGATTGCAGCGCCGATGCGTCGACGACACTACATCGCCGATGCGCCGACGATGCTTGCGTCCTGAAGAAAAGACAGGGCGGGAGGTTTCTGGTCGTTCTGGGCCTCTCGGGGCACTCGCTGGGCCCGGGACCTTAAACAAACGACTCGGGATGAGAAAGCCGTCCTGCAGCCTGACTATCGTTTAGCCGCCTGAGCATGCCCATCTGGATCCAGACCCCACACCTTTTTACCACCCCAGTTGGGGATGTACCGGCCAATTCCCCTTTTTTAGGGGATCAGTCGACCTATGGGGCTCAGGCCGGCGCGTCGCCGACGCCGATGCGCCGTCGACGATGCATCGCCCACGCATCGGCGACCATGCGGCGCCGACGCTGACGATGCATCGCCCATGCATCGACGATGCATCGGCGGTGCATCGGTGACATCGCCACACATCGCCACACATCACGGCCAGGCCCCAGCACCCCTTTTTGCCTCGCCGCTGTGCTGGCCGGGTCGTTCCGTGAGGGGTCCCGGGGCCCGAAGCGGGGCGCAGCCGCACAGTGCGAAACAGTGCAACATCTGGTGGTCGTTTTCTTACTCCTTGCTTCGTCGATCGGCGTGGGCCCTCGCACCCCCCCTCCCCCCGCCCCCTGTGAGCAGATGTTGACTGTTTTTGGGCGCCGATTTCGAGCAGGGGGAGTCTCCCTCAATAAGCGCACCGTTGCAAAGAGCCGCATTGAGCAGATATCCAGAGCCAGAGGCCCCCCCCTCCCCCCCCTTCCGCCCGATGTCGACACGCCGAACAAGAAGCCGTTTCTTGGTTCTCAGGGTCAGGTCGGATTCGCGAGCGTACCTGGCGGGTCGGGTTCCTCCAAAGAGGCATCCGATTATCACCACCCACCAAACCACCCCAACCCAACCCGAAGGCCTCAATTTGCCCTCCACTTCCAGTGGGGGGGGGTCCGGGAACATCGAGAAAACACGCATGGAGCCCATACCCCCCCAACCCGAAATTCGGGTCTTCGGGTTGGGTTGTGGTGGTCAGGTAGTCAGATTAGATGGGGTCGGAGTATCGCGCCGGATCCCACAAGACAGCATGGGAGCCTCCCACGAGGTGCCGCAGGAGACTGCGATCCATACCCCTGCGGGCCTAGCGAGCGCTGAGGCATCGCACTCAGAGAGGGACAAGGCGCCGATACCGCTACTCTGCGTTTGGTAATCAGCGTCTGGGGGGGCGCCACCCCCGCCGGCAGCTCCTAGAATCGACCTCCGCCGCTGGCAATCATGACCACGCGACGTCGACCCGAGTCGGCCCTGGCCGCCCGCCGCAGAAGTGGCAACCGTCCAGCTGCCATGTTTTAGAAGCCTCACCTTCGGTCACCGAGGGCAGCTGAAGCGCGCGGACATGCGCGGGCGCACCACGCTAGCGAGGAGGAGGAGGAGGCGGAGGAGGAGGCGGAGGAGGAGGAGGCGGAGGAGGAGGAGCCTCACCTTCATCTCTTCTCGTCCTGCCTTTCCTGTCCCTTCGTCTCGCCACGCTTGCGTCCGCCCGCTGCCACCAAGTGCCCCTGGGCCAGGGCGCCCGGGGGCAAAGTATGTCTTCCGTTGCCGATCCGATCCGAACCGATCCGGATCGACACCAGGCGCCTGCGACCGACTGCGAGCCCTGCCCCTGCGGGTTTAACTGGCGCTGGGGCATCGGACTCAGTTGGAGGTGAGGTGCCGATGCCGCTACCATTCTCTCGTCACCACGGCCGGATCCGCCTCGAAGTCCTGGTGAGATTTCGCCTTGGGAGAGGTCCGAGGACTAGCGGCACCCCCAGCTGTGGTTCATCCAGCCGCAGACTTCCTCCGAAGTCCGAGTCCCCGGCTGCCGCCTCAGGAGGCTTACTTGCAGGGGTAGCCAGGGTCACCCGCGGAGGTTTCCAGATCATCGCGCTTCGCGAACCGCGGTCTGGGGGCGGAGGAGGAGGAGGACGAGGAGGAGGACGAGGAGGAGGAGGAGGAGGAGGAGCTGGAGGAGGAGGAGGAGGAGGAGGAGCTGGAGGAGGAGGAGGAGGAGGAGGAGGAGGAGGAGGGGAGGGGGAGGAGGAGGAGGGGGATGAGGAGGAGGAGAGGAGGAGGGGAGGAGGAGGAGGAAACAGAGGAGGAGGAGGAGGAGGAGAAGGAGGAGGAGCAGGAGGAAGATGACGAGGAGTAATAATAATTATATTACTAATAATATCAACAATAATACTGATAATACTAATAATAAGGAGAAGAAGAAGAGGAATAATAAGAAGAAAAATAATAAGAAGAGGAGGAAGAGGAGGAGGAGGAGGTTTTTGTGAAGCGACAGGACGCCAGTTAGGAGGAGGAGGAGGAGGAGGAGGAGGAAGAGTAGGGGGAGGGGGGAGGAGGAGGAGGAGGAGGAGGAGGAGGAGGAGGAGGAGGAGGAGGAGGGGAGGAGGAGGAGGAGGAGGAGGAGGAGGAGGAGGGAGGAGGAGAAGGAGGAGGAGGAGGAGGTGGAGGGAGAGGAGGAGAAGGAGGTGGAGGCGCCAGAGCGGCTACCCCTCTCCAGGGGCGGCCGCGTGAAGCCGCGAGGAGGATCGCGCCCCGCGATGCACGAGAAGCGAACAGGAGGGGAAAAGCACAGGAGGGGAAAAGCACACATGAGGGTAGCTCAGGAGGGGAACAGCACACAGACACAATTCATCGTCGACTGCCAGGAAACATAGGAAAATATGGCAAGAGGAGGGGAAGACGAAAACATAGAAAATATTTGGGGAAGTATGGGTAATCCTGGGATTTGTGTCTGTTCATTTGTGTGTCTCTGGGCCCCTTCAGCAGCGTGGGCACTGGGTTGCCTCAGGCGGGAGCGTCAACAACCTCAAGCTCGCGGAGGCGGCCGGAGTGAGCTTCGCACCCGGCGTGCCCCGCGAGCTGCGGCTGCTGCTGGCGGACGCGCAGACCTCGGGCGGGCTGCTGCTGGCAGTGCCCGCGGCGCAGGCGGACGGGCTGCTGCAGCGGCTCCACGCCGCTGGGCTGCGAACCAGCGCGGTGATCCGGGGCAACGTCGGTCCACGCCTCCCGAGCGGGGTTCGAGCAGATGGGGTCGGGGGACCTAGCGCCGCAGCTCTCGAAGAATAACGAGGTCATAAACGTCAGCTGTCGACGATCGGGGCGGATTTCTTGGATCGACGCTGGGGCTCCCCTGGCGGCGCGTCCAGCGCCGCACCTGGCGCAGGGATGGAAGTCCAGTGCCGATCCAAGAAATCCGCGCGGACCTTTACAAGTTGCTGTTTATACAGTTTTCCCTCTCTACAGATGGGGTCGGGGGACCGTGCCGCGTCGCGGATGCATCAGCGGCGCGGCTCGACGTGGCGCCCGACTTTCTCCGCGCCGACGGCGGCGATGCATCGCCGACGTGTCGGCGATGCATCGCCGACGCATCGGCGATGCATCGGCGATGCGGTGCGATTTTCCGCGCCCACTAGCTCGGACCCCATGGCATTTGACCCTATTTTGAAAACAAATAAACCGCACGCGTGCAAGAGTGCTCGTGGATTTCGGTGCTGCGCCTTCACACCACCTGTGGCAGTAGAAACGCTCCTCTTTCGACAGCCCTTGTAAATCCAAACGCTCAGCATCACTTCGAAGCCAATCTCGGAGTAGGCCGCTCAAAGGCCGCCCAAAAGCCGCTCAGAGGCCTCCCTGAGGCCGCCCAGTAACCGCTCAGAGGCTAACGTTCGCAGCTCGAGGCTGGCCTCCCAAGCTGGGCGTGGACGTGTTTCGTGGGCTCGTTGAGGAGGGGGAGGCGTGTAGGCCCGCAACCGTCCAGTCAACGCCGGGAGAGGCCCGTGAGCCCACACCGCCCAGGAACGCTCGGGTGCGCTCTCGGGGCCCCGTCGCCGACGCCCGGCGCGATGCATCGTCGCTGCGGGCCCGACGTGTCCCCCCTGAGCCGGCCACCCCCCTTGGCATCGCTCGGACGTGTGCATTTTTTCTCGGCGAGGACCATTGAGGACGATCCTGGACCATCGAGCAACAAAAAAAACACGCACGAAACCGACAAATGCACGGGAAATGGACGTCCGAGCGATGGCGAGCCCCGAGCGTTGCCCCATCAGGTGATCGGCGAGGTCCGCCGGAGAGAGGCCCCCCAGTCGCCGCTGATCCAGGTGGACGTCTGAAGCCCAGCCTGGATCCTCCGCGCCCCCGCGGGTCCACAGGGAGGGACGTCCTTCCCTCGCCGGCTTCAGTGGCGGAGGGGCGGAAACAGCTCGAGCGCGGACGACGGGAGGGGAAGCGGCAAGATGAGTTAGTTTTGGGGGGAGGAGGACGGCGAGGGCGAGGGCGAGGGGGAGGAGGAGGCCTGCTGCCTCTCGCCACAGTGACTTGCTCGCCCCCGCGAGGTGAAGGCTACGTGTTTGTTTTGAGGAAGGGAAGCATCACCCTGACCCCTCTGTAATTAGCTGGTGAAGAATCTGCAGTGTCAGGCGTTTGCGCAACGGTTCTGCCTCGCTCGGTTCTTTCAGTCGGTGAATGTACTAAGGGCCCCGCTGATAGGGATGCTTATTATGAGTGTTTTGTTCGGCGCTGCCCAAACATACAAACACTAAATGAGCGTCGCCCCCAGAGGGGCAACGCGCGCGCCGAGACATCTTAAAGTATCTGCTCCGTGGCGGGCGCTTTCTGGCATTCCCGCTCGGGAAACACTTTACTGCAAGATGATTGGAGTCCATGTTCTCGTCGGACGCACGCCTCCGAGGGGGACACATAGTATTAGTATTTCTTGGTGCCTCCCATCATCCTGTCTTCAAGCAAGGGCATCGCACAAATTGATGTACTGATCGCCGTTGGGTTATCAGGTACCCCCGCCGGGGCTCACCTGGCTGCAGACATACATCAAGTTCTGAAACCCAGCTGAATGTTCAGAACTGCGACTTGAAAGTGTAGGGTTCACATGGGCGACTCAGGCAAACGGGTTCGCCTCCACCGATATTCGCGCGCAAGCTTCCCGCGTAAGGTCGGCGTAAGCGGCCCCGTTTCCACTCTGGCGTGCCGCGCTGGCGGCCCGCACTCTGGCGTGCCGCGCTGGCGGCCCGCGCAAGCCGCCGCGTAAGGTCGCTATGTTCAACCGCTTATTTTCGTCGCCCATATGCGGCGCGCACAAGGGGGTAGGGGGAGGGGGAAGGCTTCTTAGAATGATGCCGCTTCTTACAAGGCGCCGGCCTTACATCTACAAAGATGACCTCCGCCTTCTCAGAAGCAGGAGTACTTCTAAGGAGCCTTCCCCCCTCCCCCGTACCCCCCTCTGCGCATGGCCGACATATGTGGTTGCTTCCTCCTCTGGCGACGTCGCCGGACCACCTCGCCGGTCCCGGCCCCCGGCCCATCCTGGGCTTTGGGGGCCGATATCTCTTGAAGGTGGCTTGCGAGTCTCGTGGACGGGTGAGGCCCACGCACTAATGCTGCCACGGGAAAGGCGACATTTCCAATTTTGGAGATAATTCTTGACGCTTCGCGTATCCACGCCAGAGTCGACCAGCTCCAGCTAGCATGCTTGCATGTTTCTGGCCCCTGGTCGCCAGACACTGCCACAGCCTGGCCGTGTTTGGATGCACCTCCACGTGGATTGCTCATGAGTGGTCTAGCATTATTGTTCAACCACTTGAGGTTGCCACTGTTGGCATGCGACAGAGGTACGCTGGGCTGCGTGCTCAGCCTCGCGCTATGCCGTGCTCTGGTCGGTACACTGTATTTGCCTTCCCGGTGGTCTCGCCCCTGGGACGGTTGCACTTCAGCCGCCTGGCACACCTGGCACCTCTTGTTGCTCTGCCTTCAGTCCCCGGCGTCCCTCGGCGGCAGCTCTGGCGGCCGCTTGTTCGTGCGCTTAGGTAATTAGGTTTGGCTCGTAGCCCGGGCTGACTTCGGGCGCCGCCTGCGCTTCCGCTTGCGGCGGCGACGGAAGAACAAATCCCCACCAGCTTGTGCCCGCGCCCGCGCCCGGCTGCTTTTTCACATGGTCGCCTGGGGTTTGTTGCCTCCCGCCATGGTATTCCGGGCTGCTGGCTCATCTACCCGCGCTACTTGTATACGCGGCGGCCGCCGTGGGGTCGAGTTCTTCTCACGCGCCATTTTGGCTGCGTTCCCACTCGCCCGTCGTGCTCGCCGCGGGCGCGCCTTCATCAAGTCCTACCTGCACGGCAAGGTTGGCGCCCCGCTCCCACCCCTCCTTCGTGTCCTACGGCTTCGGCAAGGCTCCTCGCTCACTTGGGGCAGGGCCCGCTTGGCCTTCCGGCGGTACGCGGCCCCGCGTTGTCTGCGTGGAGCTCCGGCCGCTTCTGAGCTCCGCTCGCTTCGACGTGTCCGTCGCACTGTTTGTTCCTTCGGTGGTGGCATGGCCTGCCCCTGCCTGCTCGGCGTCCGACCTGCTTTGCGCGCCTGCGTGCCAAAACAAATCCCCACCAACCCATCCAGAAACGATGCCTGTGAGAGCTGACAGGGGGGAGAGAGGGAGAGACACGCATAGTCAAACAGCGAGGGAGCCGGCCTGGACGGCGTGTTGGGGCCATCTCTGGCCTCTTGGGGAAGCTCTCTGGCCATGTCGAGCCGTCTTGGAGCGGTCTTAGGGCTTCTGGGACCATCTTCAGAGCCATTTTGAGCCAGTTTGGGCTATTTTGAGCCATCTTGGATGTCATCTTAAACTCTCTGAGGCCGCTGGGGGGCCTTTTGGGGGCCGACCGGGGGCATCTCGGAGCCTTCCTGGGACCTCCTGAGGCGCTCGTGGGACCCTCTTGGGGGCCTCGTGGGAGCCCTGGAAAGCCTCTTCGGGCCATCTTAGAGGCTGTCGGCCAAAAGAAGGGATCCTCGATGTGTGCCCCCCCCCCCCCCTCTCGGGGGCCACGATTTTCATGAGGGGTGTCAAAATTTGACCCTCCCACTGGCCGAAAAAGGAGCCTCCGACACTTCGCAACACCTCCCACAAAAACCCAGGGAGGGGAGGGGGAGTGCTTCTCTCCCCGACGGGAAGAGGGGTTGTGGAAGAAAAAAGAGACCCTCGTTGGACCACCTGTCGCCCAGAGGGCTGGCGGGATTGATTGAATGACTTCTGTGGAGTTCCCTGAGTGTTGGATGCCCTGGGTTCCACATGCCTTACCTTTTCCTCCACGTAGGGGCCTAGTTTAATCATGGTTGTGCTAGCCTTAAGTCGGGCCTGTCCCTCTACAGGAGGATCATTCAAACATAGTAAAACAGAACGTGTTTTTTTTGTTTGTGTGTGTGAGGTATTTTCGGGTATTGTTGAACATGTGTGGAATATGTTTTAATTTTCCGTCCAAAATCCCCCTTGGAGGGGGACATGCCCAACCGAATGCTAGCCCCCAAAGAGTAGGCGGCGTCACCCGCCGTTGAGGGTTGATATCTCGCTGCTCTGGGTCTCTCGGTCCCCTGTGGTCACTGGTAGGCTAGTTTTGCTTCTGGCCAGGCTTTGGCTGCTTCTTTTTCTCGACCTGGACCTCGGGTTCCTTTTTGGGCGCGCGCGAGGCCAACTTAGAATCCTAGAAGCCGATCTTGCGCCCAGGATCGGCTCGGGGGTTTTAAGGCTTGGCGTTTAGGCTCTAGGCTTAAGGGTTCAGGGCTTTCTCCCTGAATTCTCCATCCTCTGGCCCCTGCCCCTGCTGCTCCCCTCCCCCCCCCGTCCTCTCCCTCCCCCTTCAGCTACAGTCCGCGGTGCTGGCTCAGCGATGTTAAGCGTTCTGTGGTCGCGCGCCCGCCTGGGGCCCATGAGCTGATCGCCGTGAGCAGCCGGCTCGGCCCATGGACTGGTCTTGTCGTGCCTCTTGCGTTCGGGAAGGATGGGAGCGGTAGGGTCACAGCCTGCGTTTGAGGTGGACATAGCGTGTTGCTGACAGTTCTGTCGAGGGGAGGAGGAATGGGGGAAACACGAGTGTCAAGGAAGGACGAAGCGGAGGATGATGAATGAGGAATGGCACTAGGTGCCGATTTCTGCATGTGTGACAGCCGCGCTTCGCTCGAGGACATCCCGCCTGACTATACAGGTACCAACGGTTGTGTTCTCGTTGGTGCCTGGTTTGCCTGCTCAGAGGAGGAGGCAGAGGAACATGAAGTCCATTCAGGGGGCATTGTATCTTCTCTGCTTTTGGTCCTGGGATCATGGTGTCTCACTGGTTCGTCGCCGAGTGTAGTTCACAAGGTTTGCAAGATAGTCGTCCACCTACGCGAATTACTGGGACCACGAGCGCCAGCTTCTTCATCACTATCATTGGCGTGCCGGATGGTATGGCAATCGTGTGCAACTGATGCCGAGAATCATCGGCGCAAGGTATATCTATTGCGAAGCACTGCCAGCCACCCTGCTGTGAGCACGTGTTTTGTGAGCCGTGTGGTCGACAGTGGCGTGAATTCCCAGACGGTGTCAGGAGCTCACTCGAATGGAAACCGAACCCAGATCATTTCAGACATACTGATCGTACTATCTAGGAGTTACGCGACTTCCCTGCCAGTCGCACACATGGAGCCTGACGATGACAGGCCTAGGAGCGCACTGCGCGACGCTGTTGGAGTGCCAGCCTCTCCAGCTTGTGTCGATGGGCCTTGATGCCGCTGCTGCACAGCGAATTTTGGAAAGCTTCTGCGCCATCTTTGCATTGATCTTCGGTGCCACTAGGGCGCGTTCCAAGCTCTGGTGTGATCCATTGAAGTGGCGCCCGCGCGAGAATATTTAACCGCGCCATGGATACCAACCTGGGTTGGGGTTGCATGTAAATCCCATCAACGGGCCGCAACATGAATGCTGCACTCCACACTTGCATTGCGACTACAGATGCGCGTGCAGGTTCGTGCTCTGTCACAGGTCGGATCGTGTAGCCCAGAAGTTGTTCGGACGGGTCCTGGCACCCCGCTGCAGTGCCCATCTCGCATTCATCCGCATTTCTTGCACGAGCCCGCGCGCTCGTAGAGCGCACGCCTTTGCTTCGCGCGCCAGCGGCGGGAGTCACCCGGTCGCAAACGGGGGGAGGCTGAGGCTCAGGGCAACAAAACATTACACAAAGCATCCATGCGAGCGGAACGCGCCGTGGAAGTGGCGTGGGGAGGGGGGCCCCCGACCCAGGAACTCCGCGCGGTTCTCCGAAAGGCTGTTGATTCAGCTTCTTGGTCTTGTAGGAGG